ATTTATATAACGTTTTCCTTGTTTTGTAAGAAGTAAATTTACCATTTCTGTAAATTCTTGACTGTATTCATTGTAAATTATTTTTGCAAATCTCCCCTCCCATCTGTGTTTTGCGGCAGCTGATGAATTTTTAATACCTTCAAGATGTTTTTCCAATTGTGAAATTGTAAATGGTGCATGAGAATTTATTGTCAACATATCTTGAAATTCTCGTTGGTTAATTTTTTTTTTTGTTAATTTAACTTCTAGTAAACTAGTCAATGCTTGAGGATCATTAATAATTGATAATGTGTCTCTTATGATTCGTTGCCATTTAAATTTATTACGAGTGGATCTTCTCCAATCGGGCATTAATTTAAAGAATGAGCAAATATTGTGTTCTAACGTATTTTCAATTGGTAAATCACGTTCAAATTCCTCTTCAAAATTATCTTCGTTACTGTCTAAAGATTCTCTTTCAACAAATTCATTAGCATTTGTTTCAGCGTTTCTGAAAATCGAAAATTCATTTTCAACTCTCATTTCGAATCTTTCACTAGATGTTGGATTTTTTTCAGGACCTGTTTTATAGTCAAAATTTCTTCCAGCTGTTAATCTTTCTTGAGAAATATTTAATTTTCCATCATCTTCAAAATCATTTAGAGAAAATCTTTCCTGATTATTTGAATTAATTTCCGGATTTCGATATACAAAATTTGGAAATTTTTCTTGACTATTTGAACATCCTTCTTTTTCCTGATAATTATTTCCAAATACTTGAGTGTAATTTGATTTTTCTCTTTCTTGATTTCGAAAATTCCCAAAAAATTTTTCCTCGATATTTGATTTACTTGTTCCTGCTTTTTCATAATCATTTCTCACAGGAAATTGATTTGATTTATTTTCAAAATTTTTCACAAAAAATTCTTGTCTCGTTTCTTCTACAAAATTTTTTTCCCGATCTTCAACTAAATCAATAATTTCATTTCCTCGCTTCTCTTGTAAATTAAAATTTTCACGATAAATATTCAATTTCCGAGTTTGATTATAAATTGAATTTTGAATTAATCGATTAACTGGTGAATCAGAAGAAATGGAATCACAAATTTTTCTAAATTTTTCCACAGCAAAACGTCCTTCACCATTTAATAATTGACAAACATCGGAAAGTGATTTTCCTTTATCTTCAAGATTTTGTAAAAACACAGTCTTATCACCATTAATATGAAACCAATGTTGGTAAAGTTTTTTAAAAATACTACCAACATGACAACCAGTCTCAACGAGAATATTAAAAATTGACGCAAGTTTAACACCTTCATTTTCTAATGTCAGTAGATAAATTTTTTTACGTCCCTCAATATCAAACCATAATTCATATAATCTTCGAAATGATTCCTCAGCACTGCTTTCTTTTCCTTTAATAACACTACAAATTTGTTTTAAATTCACGCCAGCTTCTTCCAATTTTCTCAAATATAAAGTTTTTTGTCCACTTTTCCAAAACCAAAGATCGTACAATTTTTGAAATGAATCACAAGATTTTCGCAAAACACCACAAATAATTGATAAATTAATTCCATGTTTTTCCAAAATTCTCAATTGTTGTGTTTTTGTATCATCTTCATTGAACCAAAGTGAATAGAGTTTTTTAAATTTTTCCACACTATTGAGACGACTTTCAGTCAAGAGAACAGAAATATGTGATAAATTAACACCCTCCATTTGTAATAATCTCAAATATTTTGTTGGATTTCCAAAATTATCAAACCAAAGACTATATAATTTAATAATTATCTCCGAACATTTTTCACCCGAACCTTTTAACATAATTTTCATATTGTTGACATAAAATTCTTGTCCTTCAAAAATTTTCAATAGTTTCGTTTTATTTCCCTCTTTATCAAACCATAAATTATAGAGATCAAGAAATATTTTTTCCACCTCTTCTATATTTACACCTTTAATAATATTTAACATATCAATAATTTTTATTTCATTTCTCTTCAAAATATCCAAACAAATTTTTCCCTCGCCTTTAGTTAAAAAATTGACAAATTTTCCAAATTCCGGTGCATCTATCACTGAAATTACACGTTTAGCTAATTCAATTTCCTCATAAAACAGATGATTTCTATTTTTTAAATCATCAAAATTTGCTATTCCTCCCTTTGTTATTGGAACAGGATCATGTGATTTTAAATAATTAAATCCAATTTTATACAAATAATTCAAATCAATTTGTTTATCGGCAATTTCTTTTTGTAGTACTTTGGAAAATTCCTCCGAATTATATTGCCGTACGGCAAAAACAATTTTATCCAAAAACATTTCTTTTAAATTATATAAATCAATATCGGAAAATTGATCCTGGGGAATTGTTAATAAATCGAAAATTATTTTTCTTGTATCACCATGTGAAAATTGGTACAAATTATTTACATCTAGAAAAGAATGTCTAAAAGTCAAATATTTCTCTTCCAAAGTATTTAGACGAGAGAATTTTAAACAATGAATTAATTCCTCTTCAATGTTTGCCTCGAATTTTTTTCCCAATATCAATTCTTTAACGAGTGTGAGACTACCATTGGTGAAAATAATAAAATAATCAATATTTTTATCTAATTGAATGAAAAAAGAAAAAAGAGTATTGATAAAGAAAATTTGTGCTTGCTTTAAGAAATCTTCATTTTTCCTAATTGTTAATTCAAGTGGTTTGAAATAAAGAAAATTATTTCTCGAATTCATTGCAATATTTTGTGTTTCATTTTTTTCGTCAAATTTCACACCATGAATATTTTCATACAAAAACATTTCATGCAAACTAAAGATAAATAATTCAAAACTATAAAATGTATTTATCAAATTTTGAGAATTTTCTATTTCGTCTTCAGATAATTGTTCAATTATTTCTTTTCGAATCACATTTAAATCTTGATTTTCACTACGAATTTCATTTCTTACTGTTTGAAATAATTCACCAATTTCCGGTTGATTAACGGCAAATATTAATCGATCGAAAAATAATCTCTTTATAACCGGTTGTTTTAATCCTGCCATTCCAATTTTATTTCGTAAAAGTTTGGAAAAATGAATAAAATAATGTAATTTATTTCTTGTTCTCTCGTCATTGGAAAATCGATAAAATTCACCGGTGCTATTATTAATTTTCAACAGATTCATTAAATCTGGATCAGTTTCTGAATTGATATTTTGAAGTTTAATTAAATTATTATCTGATGTGTCGATTTGTTTTAATTTTTTATCATCCGTTAAATCAAATGCACAATTTGTGTAGATTATTAAATATTTCGGTGCATCTGTCAATTGATCTAAATAACAAATTAATTCCATTGCAAATTCATTTAAATAATTTGTCAATGCAAAATCGCCTATATTTGAAATTAATGAATTGCCATTTAAACTTTTTTTAATGAAATATGTATCGACATATTGTACTCGAATACAAAAATATTCTCCATTGTAGCATTGAATTATATTATTAAATTGACCGAGTTTGGAATTTTTGAATATTGCCGGTTCAGTGGAATTTGTGAAAATTGATTTTCTAAGTAAAAATAATGTTGATAATTCCAATTGATACATGAGACTAATTAAACGATGAGGATAAGAATTTTGAAAATTATCAAATGTAGTATTGTGGGATTTTTCCAGTGTATTTGATGATGTTTTTTCTTTATATTTCCAATTTGTGTCCATGTATCTCGCATCTTTGTTGTTTTTAGTTGAAGAACTTGTTGACGCTGTCCATGAATTATTGTCACCTAGTAGAAAAATATTTTATATTTAGTAAACGTAAAAAAAATAGTTAAAATAAAAAAAAATTGGTTAAACAAAAAATAGTAAAATTAAAAAATAAAAAAAAAAAGAAAATATAGTGCATAATAAAAAAAAGTAAATCAAAAAACAGTAAAACAAAAAAATAGTTAAATAAAAAAAAATTTTTTAATTATCTAATACGTACATCTTCTTTTATTTTCGTATAAATCTGATTCGTCCATTAATCTTCGTTTATTGGTTGATTGTTCCATTGCTAATTGTTCGTTTCCATACATTCTATTTCTAAATATTTTTTCAGAAGGGTTGCAATGCCTTCTATTAAAATAGGGATTTCTGCTTTCCATTTTTTGCAAAATCGGCTAAATTCGAATTTAGAAAACTGAAACTGAAACAATAATTATTTAATTTTTTGTGTTTGTTTAAGAAAAAATTTTTTAATCAATAAAATTTTTGAACAAAATATTGTAAACAAAGATCAAGTAACAAATTTTAATTTATTTTCATTTAAAATAAAAAAAAATTTGCAATTTTTAAAATAAAATTTAAAATAAATAAAAAATTTTGTAAATTAAAAAAAAGGGTAAATAACAAAATGAATTCTATTTGTAAAAATGGAATAAAAATTATATTATTTACTATAACTTAAAGCAAAAAACAAAAAGTTAAATAATTATTGTTTATAACAACAAATTTTAGATCAAAATATTTATTTTTTAAATTCTACAATTGAATTTTAAAATATATATGGTATTTAAGAAAAACTAAAAATTAAAAAAAAAATTTTAAACAAAAAATGTAATTTTAAAGCAAATTTTTTTTAAAAAATAACGCTGTAAAAACGCTAAGTAAAACAGAAAAAATCCAATTTTAGTAAAAAAAAAATCTACTTTATAAAAATTAAAAATTTTTAAATTATTCAATTTTTTTCTGTAATTTACACCTACAACTGTATTACTGTATTTTTGATAAATAAACAATCTATTATAAAAAAAAAAAATTAGAGCGTCGTGCTAATAACGCGAAGGTCGAGGATTCGATCCCCCATGGGCCAAAAGTTTTTTTTTTTATACAGTCAAGAATGTCAAATTTCAAAGGAAAACTTATAAAATAATTTTAAGAAAATTTCAATTATAATAAACCCTTAGAATGTTTAAAAAAAAAAATTAAATTCCCGAAGGAAATTACAAATTAAAAAGATATTTAAATTTCACTAAAACAAATTATTCTATAAAATTGTTTATTTATACATTTATTACATTAATGTAGTAAACATCGTATATAAATTATAGTAATAATTAGTTTTAATAGAATTTCTTCAATTCTCACAAGTTTCATTATTTGTTTTCTCCTTTTTAAATAAAATAATTTTTTTACTATACCTACTCGCATAGAAACAAACAAAAAAATTTTCTCATCATTGAAACTATATAACATCAAAAAAAAAAAACAATTATCTTCAAAAATAAAAACTTAGAAAAAAAATAATACACATTAATAATCTTCATCATCATCTTCATCTTCATTTTGTCTTTGAAAATGTTCAAGTAATTCATATTTACTGTAATTACGTCGAACCGAAAAGTCTAAAATTTTTTTAAACTTTCTCACTGCTTTACCACCTGTTCCATATAATATCCCCGATATTTCCATTAAATTTATGTCATTTTCCTCCAAAGCCAAAATATGTCGTGTTTTTCTATTTTTTGCATCAAACCAAAGATTATATAAACTTCTAAGATCATTGAAAACATTTTTTTTTGAACCAATGACAATTTCTAACATTGCCCTTAATTCAATGACTTGTTCAATATTCTTTAATTGATCCTTTTTTCGAAATTGATCATCAAAGAAAAATGAAAATAAATTATTAAATATAACATAAGCGTATAATCCCGTTCCTTTTAATACACTCGCCAAACATTTTAAATTGACTCCATTCTCATCCAAAATTCGCAAATAAATTGATTTCATTCCTCTTTCATCGTACCAAAGATCATATAATTCTTTAAAACATTTTAAATCCGTTTCATAGCCACAAATTATTTCAAATATTTCCCTCATATTTAATTCTCTTTCCAAAATTCTTATATGTTCTTGATGATAACCATTTTCATTGAATACAAATTTATAAAGATCATCAAATGCTTCAGGTGCTTTTGGTCCTTTTCTATTTAAAACATTTGCAACAAATGTCAAATGAATTCCATTTTTTTCCAAATTTTGCAAACGTACAGTTTTATTACCACGTGAATCAAATAAATAATTATACAATTCACGAAATACTTGACATATTTTTGCACCAGAAGTTTTAAATATTGTCACCAACATTGATAATTTAATACCCTCTTCTTCGAATTTCGTTAAATATTTCGTTTTTCTTCCATTCGAATCAAAACAAAGATCATAAAATTCATGATAAATTTCCGCTGCATTAGCACCAGAATCTTCAAGAACTGTACATAATTGAACTAAATTTATATCATTTCTTTCAAATGTTTTCAAATAATAAGTTGTTTGTCCCCTTGCATCGAACAATAAATTAAATAATTTATCAAATGCCTCCATTCCATGTGTTCCCGATCCACCGATAATAAACAATAATAATCGTATTTTCACATTTGTTTTAGTTAAAATTTTTAAACAATTTTTTTCATATCCTTTATCGTCAAACCAATATCCACACATTTCTTTTAATGCTTGTTTAACTTCATTTGCATTTTTACAACCTCTTAAAACTCTTCCAACATATTGTGGTAAAATTTTATTTTTACGCAAAAAACTTAAATAACGCATACCTTGCCATTGTTGTAGATAATTAACGAGTAAATTAAATTCCGAATTAAATTCATCAAATATAAGTTTTGCAAATTTCACCTCATTTCTAATATCGCGTGGTATTGCTTTTTTACCACCTTTAAGAAGATGTTCCAATTGTTTCACAGCAAATGGTGGATGATTTCTTAACGAATAAATATCATTAAATTCATTTTGAGTGATACGTTTTTTTTGCAATTTTGTCTGTAAAAAACTATTTAAAGCTTGAGGATTATTAATTATTGGCAATATTTCTCTTATTACACGTTTCCATTTTGCTCTAAAACGTATTACTTTTTTCCAAGCGGGAAAAAGTTTAAAGAGAGCAGCAATTTTTCGTTTTAATTGTGTATTTGAACATAATTTATTTGTATTTCCTTTTGTTGGTTTCTCCTCAAATTCATGGTCGTCAACGTCGTTGTATTCTTCTTCATCATCTTCTTCTTGTTCTTCTTTGTCGTAATTATAAAAATCTTCATTTTCATTTTCATTACTACCAAACGATGCATTTTCATCGCTTGCATAATCATCCTCTATTTTATAATCAAAATTTGAAAATTTCGAATTTATTTCACTAAATGATGATTTACTCGTTTCTCCTCGTATTGTTAAGGGATTTTGAAAATTTTTATTAGAATTTTGAAATCTTTCTTGTGGAATATTTCTTTCTCTTGTAAAATTAGTTTCACGAGGAATTTCATATTTTTGAGGAAGATTTGATTCTGTTCTTGAATTATAATTTTCAACGGGAATATCAAATCTTTGAGGAATATTAAATTCTGTTATTGAGTCACATTGAAAATTTTCATCAGATATTTCAAATCTTTGAGGATTTTCTGTTTCTCTTCTTGAATGACCAGGAATGTCAAATCTTTGAGAAATATTTGTTTCTTTTGCATGAAAATTTTCACTAGGAATTTCAAATTTTTGAGAATTTTGTGTTTCTCTTCTTGAATGAAAATTTTTATCAGAAATTTCAAATCTCTGAGGAATATTTAATTCAGCTATTGAATCAAATTGAAAATTTTCATCAGGAATTTCAAATCTTTGAGGAATATTTAATTCTGTTATTGAATCAGATTGAAAATTTTCATCAGGAATTCCAAATCTTTGAGAATTTGAATTTTCTCCTTTACTATTTGAATATTGAAAATTTTTCCCCTCAAATCTTTCTTGAGAATTATTTGCCATTTCTCCTCTTGTTGGAAAATTTTTACTATTTTCCCCTCTTTTATTTTGATATTCAAATAATTTTTGATTTTGAAATTGTTCTTGAGTATTTAATTTTTTTGTTTCACGATATTCAAAATTTCTTGGAAATCTTTGATGATCCACATTTTCAAATTGTTCCGAAATTATTTCCATTTTTTCCTGTTTACACGCCATTTGATTAATTAATTGTTCAAGTGGCGAATTAACAGAATTCAATGATGAAACAAGTGTTTTAAATTTATCAACAGCCTTAAAACGTTCACCATTCAAAAGTCGACAAATTTCAGATAAATTTCTACCTTTTGATTCCAGTATTTTTAAATAATGTGTTTTCTCTCCATTACCATGAAACCAATGATTAAAAAGATTACCAAAAATTTCACCAACATGACAGCCACATTCGGGTAAAATATCAAAAATAATTGACAAATTAATATTTTCATTTTCCAATTTTTTTAAATAAAATGTCTTTCGTCCTTGTGCTTCAAACCATAAATTGTACAATATTCGAAAAGCTGAAACAGCATCGCCCTCAGATCCTTTAATAACAGTACACAATTGATTTAAAGAAATTCCCGCATCTTCCAAATTTTGCAAATAAATCGTTTTTCGTCCCGTTTTATCAAACCAAAGTTTATATAAATCAGGAAATGATTCACCTGAATTATGCAAAAGATTAACAATAATTGTCAAATTAATGCCATTTTTTTCTAAATTTTTCAACGATATCGTTTTATTTCCATTTTCATTAAACCAGAATGAATAGAGTCCCTTGAATCTCTCAACAACACTATTAACACGAATTCCACTCAAAAGAATTGAAACATGTGACAAATTCACACCCTCCATTTGTAATGTTCTCAAATAATTCGTTGGATTTCCAAAATTATCAAACCACAAATTATACAAATTAATCAAAATTTTTGCACTCCTCGAACCATAACCTTTTAACATTGTTGAAATATTTTTAACATAAAGTCCATGACCTTCGAAAATTTTCAATAATTTCGTTTTATTTCCCTCATTGTCAAACCATAAATTGTATAATTCATAAAAACTTTTTTCACCATCCTTAACGCCAGCCTTTGCCAAAATTTGCGACATTGCCGATAATTCAATTCCATTTCTTCTCAATGTATCCAAACAAATTTTACCCTTGCCTTTAGTTAAAAAATCCACAAAACGTCCAAATTCTGGCGTATCAGTTTGTGAAATTACCAATTTTGCAAATTCAATTTCCTCTTGAAATAAACGATTCTCAATGTTTTGTCTATTATTTCTCAATTGATGAAAATTTGTCATTAAATATTCCTTTGTCATTGGAACATTCTCATGTGATTTTAAATAGCGTAATGCAATTTTATTCAAATTAATAAAATCATAAGGTATTTGTTTCTCATCAATTTCTTTTTCTAATACTTTGGAAAATTCCTCCGAATTATATTGTCGTACGGCAAAAACAATTTTATCCAAAAACATTTCTTTTAAATTGTCATTTGAAAATTTTTCATTTCTCATTTCATATTCCTCGGGTATTGTCAATAAATCGAAAATTATTTTTCTTGTATCGCCACGTGAAAATTGATATAAATTATTAGAATTCAAAAATGAATGTCTAAAAGTAAAATATTTCTCTTCCAAAGCATTTAATCGACAGAATTTTAAAAGATGAATTATTTCCTCTTCATCTTTTGCCTCGAATTTTTTACCCAATATCAATTCTTTAACGAGTGTGAGACTACCATTGGTGAAAATAACAAAATAATCAATATCTCTACTTAATTCGAGAATAAAAAAAGAAAAAAGTGTATTAATAAAAAAAAATTGTGCCTGTTTTGTAAAATCTTCATGTTCACTAATTATTAATTCAAGTGGTTTAAAGTAGAGATAATTATTTCTTGAATTCATTGCAATATTGTGTGTTCCATTTTTTTCATCAAATCTCACACCGAGAATATTTTCATACAAATACATTTCATGTAAACTTGAGATAAATAATTCATAAGTGTAAAAAGTATTTATCAAATTTTGTCTTTTTTCTCCAACTCTACGTTCCTCTTCTTCAATTAATTGATCCATTATTTCCTTACGTATAACATTGAAATTAACATTTTTATCACGAATTTCATTTCTTACTATCTCAACTAATTCCTCAATTTTTGGTTGATTGACAGCAAATACTAAACGATTGAAAAATGTTTTTTTTATTTCATTTTGTTGTAATCCAGCAATTTTAATTTTATTTTGCACAACATTGGAAAAATTGACAAGATAAAATAAATTTTTCCTCGTCTCTTCATCATTGGCAAATCGATAAAATTCACCATTACTTTTTAATAATTCAATTAAATCGGGATCACTTTCTGAATTTATTATTGACAATTGAAGTAAATTACATTCTTGTGTTCCAATTTGTTTTAATTTTTTATCATGTGTCAAATCAAATGCACAATTTGTATAGATTATTAAATATTTCGGTGCATCTGTCAATTGATCTAAATAACAAATTAATTCCATTGCAAATTCATTTAAATAATTTGTCAATGCAAAATCGCCTATTTTTGATATTAATGAATTACAATTTAATGTTTTTGTTATGAAATGTGTGTCAACGTATTGTACTCGAATACAATAATATTCTCCATCGAAACATTGAATTATATTATTAAATTGACCGACTTTGGAATTTTTAAATATTGCTGGCTCTGTAGATTTTGTGAATGAATTTTTTCTCAATAAACAAAGAATTGATAATTCAATTTGATACATATGACTCATAAAACGATATGGATAGGAATGTTGATGTTGATAAAATTTACAGGTATCATTAAATTTCTCAACTGTATTTGATGATGATTTTTCTTTAAATTTCCAATTTGTCTCCTGATATTGTGCAACAGTGTTTCTTTGGTTTGAGCTACTTCTTGATGCTGTCCATATATTATCACCTAATGAAAAAAAAAATCTATTTTTAGTGAGATTAAAAAATAGTAAAAAAAATAGTTAAAAAAGTAGTAAAGAAATAGTAAAAGAAAAAAGTAAAAAAGTAAAAAAAATATTTTAAAAAATAGTAAAAAAAAATTGAAACGCATGAATATTCCCCACAATGAATTTGTTCGTAATTTCCATACCGAATTTTATAAAAGAAGAATTTTCATTGAATTGAATTTTCATATTTCAGAATTTTTATTTAACTAGTCAAAAAACATCCCAAGCAATACTTAATCAAGTTTTACAGATTTTTAAAATAAAATTTTTTTTTAAATACATAATAATTTTTATAGAGTTAGAAATTTTTAGAAATAATTGAATTTGAAAAGATTTTATTAATTTTCAGACAATAATTAAATTTTACAACACTAAAAATAATTTATCAAATAATTTTAGATAACATTTTTTAAAAGTAATTGAATTTTCAAAGATTTACAATTTAGATTTTTGAAATTGATTGAACTTCAAGTGATTTTTAATTAAACATTATTGATGATTTCTATTATAATAAAAAATTTATTAGAAATTGCAGACAAAAATACAATAATTTGAAAATCATTTTTAAGCGAAAAATGGTTTGAACAAATAATTGAATTTTCCGAAGAATATTATAAAAATCATTAAAAAATAATTGAAATTTTTACAAATAATTAAATTTCAAGTGATTTTGAATTAAAATTTTTTGATAATTTTATTTTTTTTTGAAAATTATAAACAAATATTAAATTTCATAAAAATTTTAATTGAAAAATAGTTTATAAAACTAAAAATAAATTTAGAGTGGGAAATATTCATTGGTCCCGTAAAAATTGGTAAAAAAAAATTAAAATAAAAATAGTACAAAAAAAAAAAAAAAAAAAAATGTAAAATTAGTAAAAAAAAAAAGTAAAAATAGTAAAAAATTAACAAAAAACTAATTATCTAATACGTACGTCTTCTTTTATTCTCGTAAAAAGCTGATTCCTCTATTGATTTACGTTTATTGATTGATTGATTCATTTTTGTTTGTTCATTTCCGTAAATTCTATTTCTTAATGTTTGCTCAGAGGCATCATAATTGCCCCTATGAAAATAGGGATTCCTTTCCATTATTTTTTTTGTGGAATCAATTAAATTCGAGTCTTTAGCAAACTGTAATAAACAACATTTATGAATATTTTCTTTTTTTTTTTTTGGGAAATTTTTCTGAACTGTTTTACAACATAAAAAATGATGGCGTGCCGAGTATTTTTAAAAAAACTAATTATTTAATAATAGTTAATTATTAATGTTAATAATTTATTATTATTTATTAATTATTAATAGTTATTTAAAAAAATTGTCCGTGATATTTAATTTTTTTGAACTTAACAAAAATTGAATTTTATATTTTTATATTTTATTTTTATATATTTATTTTAATAAATGATCCGTTGTTTCATAAAATTTAATTAATTATAATTAATTAATACTAACTTGCATTAATAAATAAGTTGCATTTTTTTCAATTTTGGATATATTAACGTATTTTTTGTTCTTTGGAAAATTAATTAATTATTGTAATTAATATATAATATAATTTTTTTTAAAATTATGTTCTTGGGTTTATTTGTTAATTGGAATTTTTATGTTACCATTGAAATTATTAACTAACTATATAGTAATTATAAAAATGTTCTCCTTGAAAATTCGCCAGGTGTAAATGTTGGTTCAACGTAGCGCGAAAAATTATTATTATTATCCAGTTGCCAAAAATTAAATAAATTTAATATATAATAAATTTATTTACACTCAAAATTGTTACTTTAACATGAAAAACATATACTAACCCTTTGGGTATCCAACATTTTATTTAACATCTTCGTAAGTTTTCTATAGAATTAATTGAAAAACTAAAATATTATTTCTCGGTCTATTAGTAATCATATATGCAAAAAAAAAAAAATTCAGAATGGCAAGCAGTAAAGTTTCAAATATATTTTTTTCTGTTTAGTCTCATTGACATAAAACTTATTAGCCATAAATTTCAATTGACATAAGTTAATAAAATAAATAAAGTTAATAAATAAATGAATAAATAAATAAAATAAAATAATTGACATAAACTTTACTTAGTCTCATTTAACAAAAAAAAAGTACTTAATAGCAAGTAAGAATAAAGGAAACCTCAAATTTATGTGAAATATTACTCATGACAAGAGAGTTTTATGTAAAAATGAAATTTATCTCAAATGACCTTAAATTGTCAGATAAAATTTATAAAAAATGAATTTTATGCTAAGTATGATTTATTCTATGAAAAATTTAGACCAAATAATATTGTTGAATATTCTTGTAATATATTAGGGTTGCCTCAAAAAATTTAATTTCTTTTTCCCTGCTTTATAACTGAAAATTTGTTTTTTCCCCATATCCTGACAAAATATTTTTATTCTTAAAACAAAAAAATAAAAAAAATTCTATTAAAATTCTCTTTTTTACGAAAATTGGATTTTTTTTTAATAAACTTTAGGTCTTTGATATTTTACCAGGGTTTTTTTTTAAATTTATTTATTTATAAAAAACTCTCTCTCTCTTCGACCTAAAATTTTGATACTATATTTTTAAAAAAATCCAAAAATATATTTACTATTTTAAAATAATATTTATACGCGTCAAAATGTTCTGTAATTTTAAAAATAAATTGAATTCAAGAGACATACCTTAATTTTTTTAAAAATGTTCACATCCTTATACTTAGGGTGTTTTATAGCACATTTTCTTCATCTGTCGTGAGAAATTGTAGGCGAAAGTTGATACCTTTAGGACAAATAAAATATATTTAAAAATTTTTAAATAAAATAATAAAATAATAATATTAATAATAATCCAATTTCAAAAATTTCTCTTAATTTATATCTAATTCTTTTTTGGAAATAATTAAAGTTCTTTTTAACGCGTTTTTTTGGAAAATTTTAATCGTAAGTTTATTTACAATTTTAGGATTTTTAGGAGAATAATATTTACAATTCTAGGATTTTCTCAATAAAATTTACAATTTTCTTGTTATTAAAAAATTTTCCGTTTTGAATTTCGAATAAATTATAAAACTTAAATCAATTAAAATTTGTAGAAATTAAAATTCGAATAATTAAAAACTTAAATCAATTAAAATTTGAATAATTTGAAATAAAATTTTGATAAATTGAAATTTGAATAATTATTTGAAACTTAAATCAATTAAAATATGGATAAATTCGGATAATTTGAAACTTAAATCGATCAATTTTTTAATTTAAATTAGTTTGAATTTTCGTTAATTTCAAGCTTTCAATGCTTAAATTTGCATTTGATTAAAATTTCAATTAATAAATTTGTTTTTATCAATAAAAATTAGAATTGATTGAAAGTTAAATAACTCTAAATTTAAATTTAAAAAAAAATTTAGATTTAATTAAAATTTATTAAAATTTAAATTCAAATCGAAAATAAAATAATTTTTAGTGTTCATTAATTTTTGGGATTAAAAAAAAATCCCCCAAAGAACTCGGTTTAGAAAATTATTTCTATAATTAAAATTTTGATTTTAATATTTTTTAAAAGTTTCTTACTTTAAATCAGGTCTCGTTAAATTCAGCCGCAATATTTTTTTCTCAATAACTGAAAAAGTGAAAATAACTTTATTTTTCCATTGATTTAAAATTATATTTTTTTTATTATCCTCTTTTGAGTAAATTTGGTCGCATTTTTGTTGAACAGAATTTTATTTGGAAGAATTTCTATTTTTAAAAACGATAATTCGGTCAAATAAAATTTTGTTCAAATAAAAATTTGATTAAATGAAAATTTAATTCAAATAAAATTTGTCCAAATGATAATTGATGTTGAATAAAAATTTGTTTTTAAAACTAAATTCATGAAAATTTTAAGGTAATTTTTTATGCGACCTCTAAAATTTATTTTTAAGACACTATTTTAATATTATATAATAATTGTTCTTGTATTATTTATTTAAATTCAATATTTCATTTTCTTTAGTTTTTCGCTCAAAATTAATCATTATTTATTTTTGTTTCCTTTATTTTCAGATTTTTTCACGTTTCTATTCAAAATTGTGTTTGAAAATTTATATAATTACGCGCAAAATATTTTAAAATGAATAAAACTTACATTCAATAAAATAATAGAAATGTTGCTTTATTTAAAAAGATAATGGAAAAAATATTCAGTGAACGAATTTACACTATTTCATAATGCATTAGAATTAAATTTCTAATTGAAACAAATTAGACATTTGCCGTATAAAGTAAGGTTATGTAGTTTTGAAACAAAAATAAGTGCCATTACTACTTAGAAACAAATGTCCATGTACATAATTTTTTTTCGAAAAATTTTCACTATTTTTGTCTAAAAACAATAAAAACATCAAGAATCATAACCTTTCTTAAATATAATTACAAATGTTTTGAATATGACAATTAGTAATAACATATAAGTGAAAAACCGCGGTGGTTATAAATGTGCTAAAATATTTTCTACTAAGCATTTGATAAAGTAAATTTGATTTCATTATTATTATTATATGTGAAAGATCAATTATTTTGTGACAAAAGTTCTAATAATCCTTAACATATAAAAGTTTAAAAAATATTATTTAAAGAATAACTTACAAATTAATGTCCTGATGATTGTTTAATAAATTCGCTTAGACACATAACCTTTCTTTAAAAACATATAAATAATAACAATACGACCATTTGCAAACTTTGCAATGCAAGAAATAAAATAGAACATGGTTTATAATAAAAAGGTTTCTCGGGTTTCTTGTCAGAGCGAGTTTCTAGGCACCTAAAGGTGAAATCACATGACAGTGTTTCGTGTTACGTAAGTTACGTTACGTTTCAGAACGTAAACATGGAAAATTTTGTACTGAATTTGTAAATTCAACATAAAGGTGCTTATATACCTCAAATTTCGATCAGATGAACATTATTTCTGGACCGTGAAAATGCGTGAAAAGTCATTTTCACGGCGGGTATTTTTGAATTGTTTTAAACAAAAAATGTTTTTTTAAGAAATATAATATTAAATAATTGTTTTAATATGTAAGAACACTTTAAAATAGTGATAGGAAGATGATTTGATTGAAAAATTTAGCAAATTTTGCTTTAAAACGTTTTCTGCTACAAGAAAGTGTAAAATGACGATGTTTGTGAAATGGTTTGTACATTGCTTCTTCCTTGTTAGTGTCTCTCAGAGTTTTGTTTATGTTATGTCGGTTCTTTTTAACTTGTAATAAATAATGAGTGCTGAAAATAAATCGGTAAGTTGAAATGTTTATCAAATAAATTTAAATTCAACTAATTGTTTCGAATAACTGAAAGAAACATGTACACATGTACACTGTACAAACCATTTCACAAACATCGTCATTTTACACTTTCTTGTAGCAGAAACGTTTTAAAGCAAAATTTGCTAAATTTTTCAATCAAATCATCTTTTTATCACTATTTTAAAGTGTTCTTACCTATTAAAGCAATTATTTAATATTATATTTCTTAAAAAAAAACATTTTTTGTTTAAAACAATTCAAAAATACCCGCCGTGAAAATGACTTTTCACGCATTTTCACGGTCCAGAAATAATGTTCATCTGATCGAAATTTGAGGTATATAAGCACCTTAAAATGCAATATATTTTTCTAAACTCCTGCACTCTTTTGCATTTTTATTCTATGAAGTGTTTCATCTTTTTAGTAATTTAAAAAAGTAAGTAAAAAATTAAATATTAAATATTTATTTATTATTTTAAGGAAGAAATAAATTGTTTTGTACAAAACAAAAAATTACATAAAAGTTGTAGCTTTATTTGTTGAAATATTAAAATTATTATGATCATATTACATATATGAATTGTTTCATTTTAACGAAGACATACGCATGTTCAGGGTGAAAATTCACATTGAGGAAAAGTTTATAATCTAAATTTTTAACATTAAAAGAGATGTGCTTTTTTAATTTTCAGTTCGCATAAATATCCCGATGAAAAATTATTAATAAACCAAATTTTGATGTTTCAAAATTCACAATTATTAAAACTTAATTGCAGAGTGCAATGAAATAATTAAAGGTCGTCTAATATTAACAATACGATTTTAGTAATTTCAACAATAATTTGCAATTTTTTAAGAATACATTATATTTTTACGAAACAATATATTACTTTGGCACGTGACAATGAATACTTATATTAAATTTTAACTTTTCTACAAAATTTTCGAATTTATATCAATTATTTTGCGACAAAACCTGCAAAAAATATTTATGTGTGTAATCACAATAGTCACATGAGAATAAATGCAAATAAAAAAAGATTTTAAAAAATAGAAACACAATTGGTTTTTTAAAAAATTCATTTTACATAAACAAAATTCTATATAATATATATATACTGAAAAAAAATGATCAATTTTTTCACTTTTTTAAAATAACAATTTTATTATATTTATTTATAATTCTTTTTTGTTACTCAAAATGAATAATTATTTTCAGGTTTTACAAATCTATATTATTCAAATAAATAAGAAATATGAAATTCTCAAAGGAAGGAAGATTTTTTCCAAACGAATGTTACGTCTGTAAATCGACGAAAAACCTAATTAGATGTAAATGCAATATGATTTCGTATTGTGGAGAAAATCATCGATTGCAACATTATTCGATTCACGAAAATTTTTGCAATGCGGTAATGGAATTATTAAATGAAAAAAAAGTGTCGCATATTTATGAAGAGCTTTATCCTTTACTTGGAAAAGATTGGAAGGATAAACGACAACAAATCTATAAAGAACTAAAAACAAAATTAACGAGATCACTGAGTCCTCTGGAAGAGTCAATGTTTGATCGTCCGCGAGTTTGTTATGTTTGCTTTCAAACTAATCAAGAGAGGTTAAAAAATTGTTTAGAATGCTCCATTGCGAGCTTTTGTACAGATTGCCTATATCATGAAGAACATGATAAGAATTGTAAACTAATGCAAAAATATTTAAACATGTTGCAAACGGCAGATGTATTGAATGTTAATTTACAATTTTTACCTACATGTTTTCCGTTTATTAGAAAAAATGCGAGTATTACAATTGATAGACTTACGCATACAATGCTATTAGAATTTAATGATTCAAAGGCATCTGCTTCACGAAGTATCAAGTTAAAAATTATACTGCTTAATTTTATTGACGCTGCTTCAATATTTCATACTGCATTACAAAAAATCCAAAATATTGATTCTTCGGAAATAATTATTCACTTAGACGCGCTCGATTATAAACATGTGATTGTAGAAAAAAATTATTGGGAATTTCTTTTACATTTAAATTCAGATATAAATATTTTAAAAATTGTCATCACTGGATGTAAATATCGCTCCAAATTTAAAAATTCTCTTTGTAAAGAATGTTATTCTATGAAGAAAAATTTGTCTATCGAAAGATATTCAATGTCTTATGAAGAGTACATTTTGCAAGAAAATTACCAAAAACCCACTGCTCTGTTTTATTGCAAAGTTGAAAATGATGAAAATTTTCAAAGAACAAAAGAATGGATTAAAGTTGCAAGTCCTATTGTTTTACCAAATCTTTCAAAGGAATATTTTTATAAATACAAAAGTATTCTCGAATTTTCATCTGCAAAGTTTGAAATTATTTATGAAGGAAAAATTAACACGCCATTCAGTGATAAATCTACACACGAAAATGACGACTATATTCTAATTTTCAAATTAAAAGGAACTAAAGATTTTATTAAATCACAAGTTGATAATTCCAGCACAAGTGGAAATAATGAAATAAAAATTAGTGATAATGCGACTGATTCCAATGCCAAAACAGTTCGAAATGAATTGCTTCAAGAGAACAAAACTCAAGATAATATTAAATTTCAAGAAATTAAAGACAAAAATATAAATTTGAGTTTGTTTGATTTTATTCTGGACATAAGTCCAGTAGAAAATCAAACAAACTCGTTATCTCATCAGAATAATTTTGATAGTAATCGAGAAACAAAGGATGTTAAATCCCTTTCAGCATCTTCATCTGTATCGCCATTTACCATTATTTCAGAAACAAAAACTCAAAAAACAAAAACATTTTTGAACAAAGACTCTAAACTAGATGAAAAGAAATCCCTTTTGGAAACTCATGTCAATAATTCAAAAAGTAAAGAAGATGATAATAAAAAAATCGCTGACGAAAAAGTTATTAATAAACAAAATATCGACGGTGAAACTCAAAAATCAGAGAAGGAGAGTCAATTAATGGAAGTGAATTTTTTAGAGAAACACATTTCATTTCTTCAAACTGAAAATAATAATTTACGACAATATTTAAATTTATCAAAAGAAGAGAACACAAAATTACGAAAGGAAATGTTAGAACTTGAGGAAAGATGTTCTAATAATACAAATGAAAATGTGATAATTCGAGATGAAAATGTGAGAGTACGTGAACACTTAAATTTATCAATTGAACAAATCACATTATTGAAGAAAAAAAATTTAGAGCTTGAAGAAATTTGTATTAAATTAATTGAGAATAACAAATTAATAAAAGAAACTACAAACATCATTGATGAACTTGAGAAAAAAATTTCTTAAATTCAGTTGAAAAAAAAAACTTATTCATTATTACAGTATTATTATTACGTTACTACACATGTAAAAAAAAAATTATATTTTCGCATTTTTAATTTGTAATAATCTTTTAATATTTTTTCTTTTTTTCCTTAAATGTTACATTAAGTTATTTGCATTGTCTTTATATTATTAATGTAATGAAAAATTTTCGAATAAATTTTAATTTTTATAATTACATTAAAATAATTTATAATTCATTTTATTTTATAAAATAATTTTATAATCCAGCCATTTTTTTTCCGTATAGGTATTATAATAATTTTTAAATCATACAAATAAAAGAAAAATATCGATGACGCCTCCTTTTTATAAAATGCACACAATCTCCAGACATGAGTAAGTATATAACATATTTTATGTTTGTTACTATGTAACATAATTAAAAATCATGTTTTTGTACCGAAGTTATTATAACAATTTTTTCTAATGTAATTAAAAATTTATAAATTTAAACTTATAAATAATAATGAATAAATTATATTTGATTTGTTAAAATTTTTTAAATTATTCGCACTTAATAATAATTTTAAAATAATTATTAAAAAATAATTTTAAATCAAAAAGATTATAACTAAACATAGAAACAATAAGTTTAACACTTACAATTTTGTTTATTGTTTTTCAAACAAATTTTCATTATATTAAAGCATTTTAAACAAGAGCGCCTTTTTTTTACCAATGAGGGAGCGGTTGCAGCGCAAGCGCTGTTGCGGCATCTTTGGTCCACCTTACGGTCGTTTGTCCAACTGCCTATCTCCACTCTATTGCGATTGTTGCTCTATTTGAGATTTTTTCTATGAAGTGTTCCAAGTTTTATTTTGTTATTATCACGTTATTATACGTAAAAAAAATTGAATATTTTTTAGTTATTTAAAAGAAACAGTAAATTGCTTTGTATGAAAGGAAATTGAGTAAAAATTGTAGTCTCATTTTTTGAAACATTTAATATTATTGATTATAGGTACGTATTACATAAATTATTCTAGTGTAGATCTACGTTGAGATGAAATTGCGCGCACATTGAAAAAAAATTTCATAACCTAAATTTTTAACACTAAAAGTTTTTTTATTTCTGGTAAACTATTACAAATTTCTATTTCTAATTTAAAAATTTTATTATTTACAAATTATTGATTAAAAATTACAAAAATTGAATATTTATAATTAATTCACCAAATCCATTATAATAGCCTTGTTTAGTATCATTTTACGTGTTTCACACTTTATTTTGGAAAGAAACAGCACAAGACAAAAAATTTATTTAATTTTTTTTATACCTTATAACTTCCTTAAAAATGCATCAATTTTAAAAGGGGCCATACTTTAATTACGTAACACTTTTTCTTTGAAATTTAAACCCCCTTCCCCCCCTATGTAACAAATTTTTGTATTAGCCCCATTTTTTTTTTACTGTGTGTCTTTTTTTCAAAATGAGTTTTTTAATAAAAAAAAATTGTAACTTTTTTTTAAAACGATATTACTATCAAATTTTTGAGTTTTAATGATAAAAAGTCATTTTTCTCATTTGACGTACTGATCGATTTTTTTCAAAAAAACTACTTTTTACGAAACTTTTAAGCCTACCCCGATAATGGGTAAACAATTTTTACAATATTTTCAAAATTTTTCAAAAAAATTTGAATTTTGAATTTTTTAAAAATATTTTTTGCTGATTACGAAAATTATGGTGATAATATCCAAAAATTTGATTTTTATGGTGAAAGCTATAAAAAAAAAGTCCCAAAATTTATTGTTTTTTTCGTTTATTGGGTAAAATATGCAATATTAAAAAAAAAAAAAAACTTTCAAAGAAAAGTTATAGATCTTATTAAAATACATTTTTTATATCTTATGCAATGAAAAAAAAAATTTATTTAATTCAAATACTTCAAATTATTTGAAAAATATTTAATTGATTCAAATACTTTTTATTTGGATTAAAAAAATATGTATTTGATTCAAATAACTTGAATTATTTGAATTGCATTTATTTGAACCAAATAAATTGTATTTGGTTTAATTAAATAATTAATTGAATTGAAGAAATGAATTTATTTAATACAAATAATGAATTACTTGAAACTATTCATTTATTTATTTCAATCAAATATTTCGTTTATTTGACACAAATAAACGAAATATTTGACACAATAAATTTATGTAATTGATTTAAATAAACTGAATTATTTAATGCTAATACACTATTTTATCAAGACAAATAAAAAGTATTTGATACAATAACTTTATTTAATTGATTCAAGTCAAGTAAATTATTTAATACTAATACACTATTTAATGAAGACTATAATTAAAAAATGTTTCAATCAATTAAATGTTTATTTGAAACGAAAATAATGAGTTACTTGTAACTATTAATTTATTTATTTCACTCAAATATTTCCTTTTTTTTGTACAAATAAAAAGTATTTGATACAATAAATTATTTTATTAATTCTAATTAATTAAATTATTTAATATAAATATTGCGTTATTTAATGTTAATACACTATTCTTTTAAAGGAAAATAAAATATTTTGATCAATTAAATATTTAAGTATAATGAGAATAATGAGTTATTTGAAACTATTCATTTATTTATATCCAAAAGTCAAATATTTTTTCATCAACAAAAAATTAATGTTTATAATGATTCAGAACAACGAAAAACGCGTTTTTAATAAAAATATATTTAAACTTTTTTTGAAAATTCACCTGGGATGATTCATGATAATAATTATGAAGCATATAATTATATTTTCACAAAACAATAAAAATTCAGTTTATCAATAATTTAAAAGATATTCATAGGTGCCTGAATTTTCTTTTAATCGAAAATGTTTTTTTTTTTATTGCTAACACCTTGTATTCGACTTGAAGAAAAGAAAATATTTCATATTTTTTTATAATTCTTTTTTTTTATATTATTCATAAATGAATTTTTATTTTCAGGTTTCAAAAATTTATATTATTCAAATAAATACGAAACATGGAGTTCTCAAAGGAGGGGAGATTTTTTCCAAACGAATGTTACATTTGTAAATCGATGAAAAATCTAAATATATGTAAATGCAATATGATTTCTTACTGTGGTGAAAATCATCGATTACAACATTATCCAATTCACGAAAAGTTTTGCAATGCGGTTATGGAATTATTAAATGAAAAAAAAGTATCCCACATTTATGAAGAACTTCATCCTTTACTTGGAACTATTTGGACAAAAAAACAAAAACAAATCTATAAAGAATTAAAAACAAAATTAACGAGATCACTGAGTACTCTGGAAGAAGCAATGTTTGAACGTCCGCGTGTTTGTTATGTTTGCCGTCATGCTAATCAAGAAAATTTAAAAAATTGTTTAAAATGTCCCATTGCAAGCTTTTGCATGAATCATCCAAACAGTGAAGAACATGATAAGAATTGTATATTAATGCGAAAATATTTAAATATGTTGCAAACGGCAGATGCATTGAATGTTAATTTACAATTTTTACCTACATGTTATCCGTTTATTAGAAAAAATGCGAGTATTACAATTGATAGACTAACGTTTACAATGCTATTGAATTTTAGTGATTCAGAGGCATCTGCTTTACGACGTATCGAGTCAAAAATAATTCTGCTTAATTTTATTGACGCTGCTTCAATATTTCATACTGCCTTACAAAAAATCGAGAATATTAATCCTTTGGAAATAATTATTCACTTAGACGCGCTCGATTATAAACATGTGATTGTTGAAAAAAATTATTGGGAATTTCTTTTACATTTAAATTCAGATATAAAGATTTTAAAAATTGTCATCACTGGAAGTGAAGATGAGAACAATTTTAAAACTTCTCTTTGTAAAGAATGTCGTTCTATGAAGAAAAATTTGTCTATCGAAAGATATTCAATGCCTTACGAAGAGTACATTTTGCAAGAAAATTATCAAAAACCCACTGCTTTGTTTTATTGCAAATTCGAAAATAATGAAAATTTTCATATAACAAAAAAATGGATTAATCTTACAAGTCCCATTATTTTACATCTTTCAAGAGAAAATTTTGATAAATGTAAAAGCATTCTTGAGTTTTCATCTGAAAAGATTGAAATTATTTATGAAGGAGAAATTCATACACTATTCAATGATAAATCTATACCTAGAAATGATGATTATATTATAATTTTTAAATCAAAAGGACCTGATGATTTTATTAAATCAGAAGTTGATTCCAGCATAAGTGGAAATAATGAAATAAACATTAGTGATAATGCGAATGATTCCAATGCCACAACAGTTCAAAATGAATTGCTTCAAGAGAACAAAACTCAAGATAATAGTAAAACAGAAGAAATTGAAGACATAAATTTATGTCCAGAAGAAAATCAAACAAATTCGTTATCTCATCAGAATAATTCTGATAGTAATCAAGAAATTTCCTACGAACAAAATATCGATAATGATAGTCAAAAATCGGATGATGAGATTGAAGTGACGGAAACGAATTTTTTGGAGAAACACATTATATTTCTCCAAACTGAGAATAATAAATTACGACAAAATTTAAATTTATCAAAAGAAATGAACACAAAATTACGAAAGGAAATGTTAGACTTGGAGGAAAAATGTTCTAATAATATTAATGAGAATGTGATATTTCGAGATGAGAATAATAGACTTCGTGAACACTTAAATTTATCAGTTAAAAGAAATTTAGAACTTCAAGAAATTAGTTCAAAATTAGTCAAAAAAATCAAATTAATAAAAGAACATACAAATATTGATGACATTGAAAAAAAAATTAGTTAAATTCAGTTGAAAAAATAGTATTCATTATATGTTTATTTTTTTAGAAGCAGGCACCACCTTTATTTTTTGAGTCCTTTAAATTACAATGATGGTTGGAAGTTACATTTTTTTCTTGCATCATTTGGGTCCTCAAAACACACAGAATGGTCAAGAAAATAAAATTTTAATTTTTGACCATTTTAGAGTTTTTATTTTTTACAATTATAATTTTTTTTTTGAAAAACCATACAAGAGATTCTTAAGAAACATAAAAAAATTGTCAATGAAAAATAGTAAAAATTGTGAAAGATAGATATTTAAAATAATAATTTTTTAAAGAAATTAATTTCTAAAATGGTCAAAAATTTTATTTTTTTCGTCATTCTGTATGTTTTTAGGACCCAAATGATGCATGAAAAAAAAGGTGATACCTCCCCTTAAATGTTACTTTAATTAATTATTTTTATATTATCACTTTAATTATTAATTTGTATTTTTATAATACTTAATGATATATTGATTGAAAAATTTTCGAATAAATTTAAAAAAAAGTATTTTAATTACAAAAAGAAAATTTTGAACTTGCAAATTATTGTTACGACATGTTACTATGTAACATACTTAAAATTCATGTTTTTGTGACGGAGTTATTATAATAATTATTTCTAATATAATTAAAAATTTATAAATTTAAATTTTATAAATAATAATGAATAAATTATACTTGATTTGTTAAAAAAAATTTAATTATTCTCCTTAAATAATGATTTTAAAATAATTATTAAAAATTAATTTTGAATATAACAAATATTATAAATAAACACAAAAACAATAAGTTTAACACTTACAATTTTGTTTATTGTTTTCTAAAACAAATTTTCGTTATATAATTCAGCATTTTAAATAAGAGCGCCTTTTTCTACCAATGAGAAAGCGGTTGTAGAGCCAGCGTAGTTGTGTTTGATTCACAATCGCTATCGGAACGCAAACGCAACCAGAATAATTAGTTAGAGAAGGACAAACAATATGTCTATCCTTCTCTAACTCATTTTTCCAATTGCGATTACGACTTACGTTTCTATTCTGTTCAGGCCTTTATGTCCAACTGCCTGCACTCTATTGTTGCCCTATTCACTCTATTGAGATTTTTTCTATTGAAGAGTTCAAATTTTTACTTTGTTCTTCAGAAGAAATTGAATATTTATTAATTATTTTAAAGAGAAAAATTAATTGCTTTGTTTAAAAGGAAATTGCATAAAAATTGTAATCTCATTTTTCGAAATATTTAAAATTATTATTGATTATAGAGGTACGTATTACATAAATTGCATTTTAGCGAAGACCCACGACCAGCGTGAAATTGTGCATTTAAAATAATTTCATAAGAAATCTAAATTTTTAACATTAAATATGTTGACATTAAATTAAATTATTTAACTTTAAATATATAAGATTCCTTTTTTATTTCTCGAGGAACATGAATATCATAAACATTGTATCGATTGGTGAAGAAATAACATAAGTCCATTTTTTTTCGAATTTTTTTTTTTAATATCAGAATGAAGCTATATATAATTTGGTAAAATATTACATCGATTAAAAAACTTCTAACACTTCAAGAAAATATAATTATTATGAAATATTGATAAGAAATAGTTAAAAAAAAAAAAAAGCTCAAGATACTTATTATTGAGGGCGGCGGGTAAACATAACCTCAAAAACCTGTCAAAACTAAAAAATTGTTTTTAACGCAAAACAAAAATATAATAATTATTAATTTCAAACAATTTTAGAAGATCTAGATTTACTTCTATCGAAAAAAATTATTTTTTTTCTAAAATATTTTGTCAATAATTATTTTTTTAACATTTAGTTTTTTTTCGTTTAAATCAGACAAAAATTGCAATTTTTTTTTTAAAAAAAAGCTTATTTTTCTCAGTGCAACATTCTCTACAATTGTTACCTTTTTTTATATTGTAATAATTATGTTCTTAAAAAGTTATAAACAATTAAAATTTTATTTATTAATTATTTATTAGTTCTGATATATGTAGAAATTCTAATTTAATAAATTTAAATTCTATTATGTGAATGAATTTTTATTAAAATTAGATTTTCCATTTCACGAATTCCAAATTTCCATCTCAATAAATAATAAAAAATACAAATAGAAATTTGTTAGAATAATAGAAATTCTAATTAATAAAAAAATCGTTTATAATTAAATTCGAATACATATTTATTTCGATTTCAATATTTCATGAAACAAAAAAAAAAAAATTCTGCATAACAAATTATTTTATAACATATTCATGTGTCTGAATTTTTACATCGAAAATGTTTCTTGATCGTTAACACCTTGAATTCAAATTGAAGAAGCGAAAGCAAAAATAGATTTCTTATATTTCTTTTTTTTTTTGGTTATACAAAATAGAATTTTATTTTCAGATTTCACAAATTTATTTTCAAATAAATACCAAATATGGAGTATTCAAAGGAAGGAAGATTTTTTCCAAACGAATGTTACGTCTGTAAATCGACGAAAAACCTAATTAGATGTAAATGCAATATGATTTCGTATTGTGGAGAAAATCATCGAATGCAACATTATTCGATTCACGAAAATATTTGCAATGCGGTTATGGAATTATTAAATGAAAAAAATGTGTTTCATATTTTTGAAGAGCTTTATTCTTTATTTGGAAAAGATTGGACGGATAAACGACAACAAATCTATAAAAACTTAGAATTAAAATTAAAGAGAACTCTAAGTCCTCTGGAAGAGGCAATGTTTAATCGTCCGCGAGTTTGTTATCGTTGCCGTCAAGCTAATCAAGAAAAATTAAAAAATTGTTTAGAATGTCCCATTGCGAGCTTTTGTACAGATTGCCTGTATAATGAAGAACATGATAAGAATTGTAAGCTAATGCGAACATATTTAAACATGTTGCAAACGGCAGATGTATTGAATATTGATTTACAATTTTTACCTTCCTGTTTTCCGTTTATTAAAAAAAAATTTACATACAAAATTGATAGACTTACATACACAATGCTATTGCCTTTTAATGATTCGGAGGCATCTGCTTTAAAACTTATTGCATCAAAAATTAATCTTATTCAGTTTATTGACGCTGCTTCAATATTTCATACTGCCTTACAAAAAATCGAGAATATTAATCCTTTGGAAATAATTATTCACATAGACGCGCTTGGTTACCAACATGTAATTATAAAGGAAAATTTTTGGGAGTTTCTTTTACATTTAAATTCAGATATAAAGATTTTAAAAATTGTCATCACTGGAAGTGAGGATCAGAACAATTTAAAAACATCACTTTGTCGAAAATGTCGTTCTATGAAGAAAAATTTGTCTATCGAAATTCATTCAATGCCATACGAAGAGTACATGTTGCAAAAAAATTACCAAAAACCCACTGCTCTGTTTTATTGCAAATTCGAAAATGATGAAAATTTTTGTAAAACGAAAAAATGGATTAAAATTGCAACTCCCATTATTTTATATCTTTCAAAAGAAAATTTTGATAAATTAAAATGTATTCTCGAGTTTTCATTTGCAAAGTTTGAAATTATTTATGGAGGAGAAATTAACACGCCATTCAGTGATAAATCTACACACGAAAATGACGACTATATTCTAATTTTCAAATCAAAAGGAACTAAAGATTTTTTAAAATCACAAGTTGATTATTCCAACACAAGTGGAAATAATGAAATAACAATTAGCGCCAATCCAGAAGTGAAATCTCTTTCGTCTATTCATTTAGATTGTGAAGACGTCTTTTCTAATGCAAAGAAAGATTTAAATAAGAACTTAGAATCAAAATTGAATAATTCTTTTATCAAATCTCAAGCTGATTCTAATGCGAAAATAGTTGGAAATAAATTGCTTCAAAAGAACGAAACTCAGGATAATTGTAAAACAAAAGAAATTGAAGATAAATATTTAGCTCGAGAAGAAAATAGAATGTCTGATGACAAAAATAAAATTTCTGATGAACAAAATATTGTTGATGATAATCAAAAATCAAACAAGGAAATTCAAGTGATGCAAGTTAATTTTATGGGTAAACACATTTCGTTTCTTCAAAATGAAAACCATAAATTACGAGATGAGAATATAAGAGTTCGTGAACACTTAAATTTATCAATTAAAAGAACTTTAGAACTTCAAGAAATTTGTTCTAAATTAGTAAAGAAAGTGAAATTAATAAAAGAAAATATAAATATTGATGACCTTGAGAAAAAAATTGTTTAAATTCAGTTGAAAAAAAAATAATATTCATTATTTCATTGCTGTTTAAAAAAGTGTTATATTTTCCCATTAATTGGAATAATCTTCCAATATTTTATTTTTATTTTTCCTTAAATGTTACATAAATGTAATTAGTTTTATATTATCACGTTTAATTACTATTTTTATAATAATGATTATGAAGTGAAAAATTTTCGAATATATCTTTAAAAGATGAATTTGAATTCCAAAAAGAAAATTTTGAACTTTTAGATTATTTTTTTTAATAGCAAATAGAAAAAAAATTATTTAAATATAATTATATTTTCCTATTACTTTTTTTAAAAAATTGTTAAACCATGTAAACAATAAAAAAAATAGATATAAAATATCATGTTTTTTTATATTAAAAATTTTAACTATTACTAAATAAGTGTAAAACATTTTTTAATATGAAAATTAAAAAACAATTTTTAAATGTTTAAATAATATAACTAAACAAAACTAAAAAATAACTTTGAAAACCATAATTATTATTTTTAAATGCCTGTTTTTATTAATTACAACGAAATTTTTAAATCATTTTTTCAAAAAATGATTTTTTATTTATTATTTTTTAAATTATATTTAAAATATACGTACAGAATAACATTTACGCTCAACTGACTTAATATTAATATTAAATTTACGAAGTGACGAACAATTTTTTCTGTTCATAATTAGAATGAGATAAAATCTTGCCAAATGTTTTAAAATCTTGATAAGAAATGTAACTGAGAATTATTTTAATAACAACAATTGGCAAATTCATTTTTCTGTAATTGAGAAAAAAATTAACAATAATATCATAAGAATTTTTTAATTTTACAGCCCATCTACTTCGATGATAAATAAAATTACCAAAGTAAGAATATTGATTAAACTTAAAATCAAGTAATTCCTGTTTCATTTTTTCATTCTCAATAATTCGAATTGCAGTTAAAAAATCTTGTGTCAAAAAATCATAATAAGTATAAATTATATCATTATCCTCCTTTAAAATTTTCATTGATTTCAATCTTTCTAAATCACTTTTGAATCCATCAAACCAGTGAAATATCATTTCACTATTATTTGGATTCAAACAGCAAGGAAAATAATTATTTATATTATTTCTTGTCAACGCAAGATAGGTCATAAGAGCCATTACAGATTTATCGAATATTGGGCATTTTTGATAATTGTACCAACCCAAACAATGAGTGCCCGTTATATGTTCATTTTCATCATTCCAATCTTGTTTTAAAAAAATATCTCCTTCTAATTGTAATAACATTAAAATAACATCTTCATTGCGATGCAATAATGCCATACCAAATACAGTATAATCATAATTATTTTCAACACTCAGACTCGTTCCACGTTCAATGAGAAATTCAATCATTGATAAATCAACATCAATTATTTCTTTTTGTATTAAAAACATAAGTGGAGTATTTCCTTGATTATTTTTTACATCAATATCAAGACCATTATTTAATAAGAAATCAACAATTTCAATTGATTGTGTATAAACAACGGCATAATGAAGAATTTTATTACCAGAAGAATCTTCAACATGAATATTTGCACCAAATTTTAAAAGAATTAACATTTCTTCTGAACGTTCAGCTTCACAAACGTGAAAAAGAATTTTTTTTCCATTATTACCTTCTCTATTTGCATCAGCTCCATGCTTAAGTAATAATTCAATAATTATTGAATTAAAAAGAATTCTTCTTGTATATTGACGAAATATATTAATTGACAAATCGTCAAAACCACGAAAAATTTTACCCAAACGATAACCACAAACTAAATGCAAAGGATTATTTTCACCATCGTCGTTTGTATTAACATTGGCACCAAAATTAAGGAGAAGTTTACAAATATTTTCATTTTCAAGACATACGGCATAATGAAGTGGTGTCCATTTGGTAATATTTTTACAATTTACATCAATTCCTTCAATTAAAAGAAAATTTATAGCTTCCAAATGTTGTTGACTCACAGCATAGTGAAGAGCAGTTTCACCCTTATCATTTTCAATATTTAATAATTCCAAATTTTTCTTATCTTTTGTTCTTTTCTCAACTTTAGCCAAATACTCACGACAATCGTTTAAAATGAATTGTAAAATATTTTTATTACCAATTTTTGCAGCAAAAAATATTAACAATGGATAATTGTATTCATTTCGTAGTGACAAATTTTTATCGTATAAAATAAATTTTATCAAATTTTCCGTATCTTCCAATGAGTTGACTGAATTTTTTTCAACAATTGCATTTTGTAATAATAGTCGAACAATTTCTTCAGTTCCATAATATAAAGCGTTACGAAGAAGATTTTTATCAATGTGAGTTTTTTCATTAAAAAGTAGTTTAACCATTTCAAAGGAATTTCTCAAGGCGTAAAGAATTGGTATTTGGCCATATTTATTTTTAGCATGAACATTCGCTCCAAATTTTAATAATCGATTTGCAATTTCAAGTGTTCCGCTTTCCGCTACAAAATGAAGGAGAGTATTTCCATTATGGGCAGCATGTAGAATTCTTTTTTCGGATATTATTTCATTTATGCCGACTATATCGTTTTTTTTTAATGCATTTTTCAATTTATTCACATCACTTTGTGAAAGTGATCCTTTTTTTGCTGTTGTTGTGTACGACATTTTTATTTTATTTACAGAATTCAGTTAATTTTCAATTATATCCAACGTTCTTTAACCGAATCCTGAAAAAAAAAATTATTTATTTTTTTTTATTTATTTACATATATAATTATTTTAAATTTATAATATTATACAAACAAAAATTATATATGTGTTAATAAAAATTGATTTAAAAAAAAAATCCGATTTTTTGTTATTTAAATTAATTTTCTCTTTTATTTACGTCATATTTTTCAAAAGTTAATTTTTAAATTATTTGTTTTTAAATAAATATTTTTAAAAGATAAATTTAATAATTAAAAAGTAATCATGAAAATATTTATATTTTTATCAAAAAAAAAAAAAAAAAAAAACATTTATGAATTAAAAACTAAAAATTTTCCAAAAATTAATGCTTTTTAAAATTGTTGATTTCTAAAAAATGAATAATTTTATTAAATTATATTTTAAAATATTTAAAATACTATATTTTTTAGAAAATATTAGAACTGATATAAAAAATTTTGAACTCAAATTCCAAGAAATTTTTTTTTTTAATTTTTTCATTTTTGCAAATTTTAATAATTCTGTAATACAAATAAAATTGGTAAAATAAATCAAATGATACGTTTTTAAATTTTTTTTTTTTAAATAAATTATATTATTTTTAACGTAATGTAAAGATTTTTAAACAAATATTTTTAAAAAAAAGTGTTTTTAAAATTTAATATTTTCAAAAGGTAAATAATTTTCGATAAAATGTTAATTGGAAATTTTTATAGACAAATTTTTTATTTATAATCACGAATAATTGCTCAGAATCACAAAAAAAGTGTATAAAAAATTTAGCAATGGAAAATAATAAAAATTGTAGAAAAAATGGAATTTTTCCAAGACTTTATCATTAAAATTTAGACAAATAAAAAATTTATCTTTTTTTTCAGAACCTAAAATATTTCAGTACGAAAAATGAAAAAAAATACCTAAGTAAAGTAAAGAAGAGCAATGAAATATAATAGAAATTATGAGTAAAGTACAGATTTTAATTTTTCGAGAATTTAGAGCTTTATTTAAAAAGTTATTAACCATTTTTCAATGTATTTTTTATATTATAATTTTAAATATACTAAATATTGTCAAAGAGAAATTATATTTTATGTATTATGTCTAAAAAATGAAAATAATTAAATATATACTTTACCATATGAGGATTAAAAAGACTGAATTCTTTTATATATAAGATGCCTTAAAATATTGAAGAAATATTATTTATTTATGTTAAACTTGTGTTGAATAAATAAAAAAAAAAATTTTCTTCCAAAATTATCAACATGTTACAACTGGCAAGCTTCTTCTTCTTTTTTTTTTCTTCTTTTGTTTTGTTTGTGGACAAACGATTCGGACACGTGACAATTATATAGCGCGAAAATTCAATTAAACAAAATTTAGATGTAATGTAAATATTTGTAAGATATTGAAGAATTCCAATCAATTAAGTTGAAAAAAATAGTATTCACTATTATTGCAAAAAAAAGTTATATTTTCGCATTTTTAATTGGAATAATCTTCCAATATTTCATGTTTATTTTTCCTTAAATGTTATTTTAATTCTTTACTAAATTAATTATTTTTAATAATTTTAATGAAATACATTACAAATTCAATTAAAATTTTTACAAAATTTAACAATTGTTTATATTTAAAAAAAAATATCACAATAAAATTGAATTATTTTTTTAAAATTTAAATTCAAAATAAACTAAAATTCAATTATTACCCGAAATTTTAATTCAAAATCAATTAAAAATCAATTAAAAATCAAATAATTATCCAAAATATTCGATTTAAAATTTAATTATTTACCAAGTTTTCAATTTAAAATGAAATAAAATTCAATTATTTTCTGAAATTTCTATTCAAAATTAATTATCCAAATTTTCAATCAAAAATGAACTTAAATTAAATTATTATCCAAAATTTCAATTAAAATTCAATTATTTCCCAAAAATTTTCAATTTAAAATCAAATAAAATTTCATTATTCTCAAAAATTTGAATTCAAAATTAATTGAATTTTCCAATAATTTGAATTTAAAAGCATCTAAAATTTAATTATTTCTAAAATTTTCCATCGAAAATTTTTTTTTTTGAAATTTAATAATTTCAATTATAACTCCAAGGAAATTCAATTATTTTTAACTATTTTAATAATATTCTTTGAAATTTCAACTATCTAAAACCATTTTTCAATTAAAAATGATTTTCAAATTATTGTATTTTGTCCGCATTTTCTAATAAATTTTTAGTGAAATCATCTAAAATTTTAATTACAAAACACTTAAAGTTTCAATTAATTTCAAAAATCTCAATTTTAAATCTTTGAAAATTCAATTAAATTTAAAAAATGTTTTCCAAAAATTGTTTGATAAATTATTTTTAGTTCTGTAAAATTTAATAATTGTTTGAAAATTAACAATATCTTTTGAAATTTAATTATTTCTAAAAATTTCAACTTTAACCCTTCGAAAAGGATTATTATTTTAAAAAAAATTTTTTTTATTTTAAAATCTGTAAAATATTTTTGTTAAAATAAAAAACAAATCCACTTTTTTTGGAATATAAATCGACTAAAACGACTTTTTGTGTCTTTAAGTTGATTGGAGGCCTGTGTTTTTAAAATTAATATTTAATAGGTATTTGTTGGCCCCTGGTACCTTAAAAATTAATTTTGAAAAATAAATTTTTTTCAAATTACTATCTTGTACGAAATTTCCTGGCGCATCTTTTTTCTCATCAAAAATTTTTTGTATTTGTATATAATTTTTGAATCAATATACAACTTAAAAAAAAATTTCGTTGGTAAACGTTGTGTACTTCAGCTTCGTGAATTGAATTTTCGAATTTGGAATTTTAAAGAAACTTATTCCGAAATTTGGAAACACAATTATACAACTTTGACAAAAATGAGAAAAAGAATTGTCAAAATTTGTCACGTTATAAGATTACTATTAAAAAAAACACGTGAAATCAGAAAAGGCCAACTTCAAGTTAGGACAGAAGGACAGACCAAGCATTTTATTATTATATATATATATATATATAATTAGCACTTTTAGTAAGTATTATTTTTATAATAATGATTATGTACTGAAAAATTTTCAAATAAATTTAAATGTTCAAATAAAATAACTAAACAAAACTGCAAAATAACTTTGAAATCCATAATTATAATTTTTAAATGCCTCAGTTACAACAAATTGATTGATTACAACGAAATTTTTAAATGATTTTTTATTTATTGTTTTTTCAAAATATATTTGAAATATACGTATACAAAAATATTTACGTTAAACTCACTTAATATTAATATTAAAATTACCAAGTGACAAACAAATTTTTTCTCTTTAGAATTCATTAAATTTCAGATAAAATCTTGCCAAATGTTTTAAAATCTTGATAAGAAAAGTAACTGAGAATTATTTCAATAACAAGAATTGGCAAATTCATTTTTCTGTAATTTAGAAAAAAATTAACAATAATATCAAAATAATTTTTCAAATTTACAGTCCATCTACAACGATGACGAAGCAAAGTACTAAAGGTTGAATATTGTGGAATATAAATTAATTCCTGTTTCATTTTTTTATTCTCAAAAATTCGAATTGCAGTTGAAAAATCTCGTGCCAAAAAATCATAATACGTATAAAATGAATCATTATCCTCCTTTAAAATCTTACGTGATTTCAATTTTTCCAACTCAAATTTCAGTTCATCAAACAATTTAAATCCTTCTCCATCATTATTTGAATTTAAACAGCAAGGAAAATAATTATTTATATTATTTCTTGTCAACGCAAGATAGGACATAAGAGCACATAAAGATTTATCAATGACTGGCAATATTGGATGATTGTATGAACCCAAACAATGAGTGCCCGTTATATGTTGATTTTCATCATTTGAATCTCGTTTTAATAAAATATCACCTCTTAATTCCAACAGCATTAAAATAACAGCACTGTTACGATGCCACAATGCCATACCAAATACAGTATCACCATCATTATTTTTAACACTAAGACTCGTACCACGTTCAATGAGAAATTCAATCATTGATAAATCAACATCAATTATTTCTTTTTGTATTAAAAACATAAGTGGAGTATTTCCTTGATTATTTTTCACATCAATATCAAGACCATTATTTAATAAGAAATCAACAATTTCAATTGATTGTGTATAAACAACGGCATAATGAAGAATTTTATTACCATAAGAATCTTCAACATGAATATTTGCACCACATTTTAAAAGAATTAACATTTCTTCTGAACGTTCAGCTTCACAAACGTGAAAAAGAATTTTTTTTCCATTATTACCTTCTCTATTTGCATCAGCTCCATGCTTAAGTAATAATTCAATAATTATTGAATTAAAAAGAATTCTTCTTGTATATTGACGAAATATATTAATTGACAAATCGTCAAAACCACGAAAAATTTTACCCAAACGATAACCACAAACTAAATGCAAAGGATTATTTTCACCATCGTCATTTGTATTAACATTGGCACCAAAATGAAGGAGAAGTTTACAAATTTTTACATTTTCAAGACGTACGGCATAATGAAGTGGTGTCCATTTGGCAATATTTTTACAATTTACATCAATTCCTTCAATTAAAAGAAAATTTATAGCTTCATAATGTTTTTGACTCACAGCATAGTGAAGAGCTGTTTCACCTTTATCATTTTCAATATTTAATATTTCCAAATTATGTTTCTTATTTTTTTTTCTTTTCTCAGCTTTTGCCAAATAATTACGACAATCGTTTAAAATAAATTGTAAAATATTCTTATTACCAATTTTTGCAGCAAAAAATATTAACAATGGATAATTGTCTTTATTTCGTAGTGACAAATTTTTATCGTATAAAATAAATTTTATCAAATTTTCCGTATCCTCCAATGAGTTGACTGAATTTTTTTCAACAATTGCATTTTGTAATAATAGTCGAACAATTTCTTCAGTTCCATAATATAAAGCGTGACGAAGAAGATTGCAATCAATGTGAGTTTTTTCATTGAAAAGTAATTTAACCATTTCAAAGGAATTTCTCAAGGCGTAAAGAATTGGATTTTCGCCATCAAAATTTTTAATATTAACATTCGCTCCTAGTTTTAATAATTGATTTGCAATTTTAATTGTGCCGCTTTCGGCCACAAAATGAAGAAAAGTATCGCCACTATAGGTCGCCTGTAGAACATTTTCTTTGGATATTATTTTATTTATGCGATCTATATCATTTTTTTTTAATGCATTCTTGAATTTACGTATATCACCGATTGAAAGTGTTTCTTTCTTTGTTGTTGTTGTTGTGTACGACATTTTTATTTTATTTACAAAATTCTGTTAATTTTTAATTACATCCAACGTTCTTTAACCGATTCCTGAGGAAAAAGAAATTATATAAAATTTATAACATACAAACAAAAATTAAGTGCTGATTGATTTAAAAAAAAAAATCCGATTCTTTTTTTTAAATCAATTTTCTCTTTTTATTTACATCACATTTTTCAAAAGTTAATTTCTAAATTTTTTGTTTTTTTTTTTAATAAATATTTAAACGATAAATTTAATAATAAAAGTATCATGAAAATATTTATATTTTTATATAATTATCAAAGAAAATATTATTTCTGAATTAAAAACAAAAAATTATCCAATAATTCATATGATTTTCAAAAATTATTGATTTTCTAATAAGTGAATAATTTTGAAAAATTATACCTTAAAATATTTGAATTACTAGAACTTTTTTTTATAGAAAATATTAGAAGTGATATAAAATTTTTTCAACTAAAATTCTAAGAAATATTTTTTTTCTTTATATTTTGATTTTTGCAATTTTAATAATTTTGTAATACCAAAAAAAATTGTTGATATAAAACAAATGACACGTTTTTAAATATTTTTTTAAAAAACAAACTACAATAGTTAGGACGTATAATATAAAGATCAAAATAAAGATTTTTTAATAAATATATTAAACCAACCATACATTAACCATTTTTTTTAATGTATTTTTTGTATTATTTTAAATACTAAATATTGTCAAAAAGAATTTATATTTTATGTATTATGTCTAAAAAAATGAAAATAATTATGTATACTTTACCATATGAGGATTAAAACGACTGACTTCTTTTACATATATAGATGCTTTAAAATATTGAAGAAATATTATTTATTTATGTTAAACTTGTGTTGAATAAACAGAAAAAGTATTCTTCCAGAAGTGTCAACAAGTTACAATACTGGCAAGCATTTATAGGAAAGTTCTTCTTCTTCTTAAATGACTTTAATTAGGCACAGCCAACTGTCAAAACAATCTTATAGGAAAGTTGAGCCACTTCTTCTTTTCTTTTTTTTTACACATTTCTGACACATATAATGGGTAGAACGTTCGAAATGTGAAACGTATGGAGGTGATTATAATACAGGGTTAGGAAACTCATTTATATTACATTAAGGTGCTTGTACAATAGTTTTATAATTTATACTTTCATTTACTTTTTTTTACTATATCTGCATGTGCGCACGCAACATTTTTCAGTTGTCAAAAAATAAATTAATTAATGAATTACTTTAATTAATTAAATTCAATTAATAAGTAATTAATTATTTAATTTGGCTCTGTCACTTGTGACGTCAGAGTCGATTCTTGGTGTGACGTCAGAGGCCTGTAGGGACAACAAACAGACGACACAATGTTATTCTTATGGGGAAGAAAATTTGTTTCCACTTTCATCAATTTTATTCATATTTTAAACATGGAAAACGCTTGTTTGGAAGAATGTTGTCCGAATTGAAAAATTAATTATTTAAGTTTAAACATTTTTAACAATGAAATTTATAATTTAAAAAAATGTTACTGAAAGAAAATTATAATTCGTCTTTTTTTAATAACATTATTGAAGTGAAAAACAGTTTTTTAATTTAAAAAAAAATTGTGTGATTATTTTGAAAATATCATCCTATTATGCGTAAAAATTAATATTTTAATTTACTGTATTGTGGAAACTAAAATAAAATAAACTCAATTTTAAGAATATATATATAAATTTGTCTTATACATTTTTTTTTTATGAAAAAAAAAGTAGAATTCGTTTTTATTTTTATGTTTAATAGTAATAATAATTTTATTTTGTTCCAGGCAAACAATAAGAACAATAATTAAAATACAGAATAAAGATTACATAAAAATTCAATAATTAATAAAATAAAAAATTTAATACAGAAAATTAGCAATTTTATTGAAAATTATAATTTTTATAGTTTATACTTTTCTTTTATAAAAAAAAGTAATATAGAAAATATTAATTATCACTTTTTTTAAATTGTTCAAATAATTCGTGTTTTTGTAAATTATTTTTACCCACAGAATTAGAGAATTTTTTAAATTTTTTATCGGCCTTACTTCCTGAATCACTTAAAATTCTCGCAACTTCCATTAGAGTTATTTCATTTTCCTCCAAAATCAAAAGCCGATAGGTTTTCCTTCCTTGTGTATCAAACCAAAGATCATATAATTTCACAAATATTTTGAAAATATTTTTCTTTGCTCCATTTACCATTTCTAACATTGCTCTCAATTCTATAACATTTTCTATATTCTTCATATATTTTGTTTTATTTCCCTTTTTGTCAAACAAATAATTAATTAATTTGTTAAAAATATGACATGCGTGCGATCCCGTTCCTTTTAAAATGATTGACAAACATTTTAAATTAACTCCATTTTCCTCAAGATTCAAAAGAGAATTAGTTTTATTTCCCCTTGAATCATACCATAATTTATATAAATTTTTAAAACTTCTAATATCCGATTTATAACCACATATAATTTCAATTATTGTTTTCATATCAATTTCTTTCTCCAAATTTCGAATATAATCATGTTTGTAACCTTGTTTATCAAATAGAAAATTGTAAAACATTTCGAATTCTTCAGGTGCTTTTTTGCCTTTTTTAAGTAAAAACTTTGCAACATACAGTAAATTAATTCCATTTTTTTCTAAATTCTCAAGAACCATGGTTTTATTGTCTTCATTATCAAACCAAAAATTGTATAATTTTTGAAAAATTTGACTTGTTTTATTTCCAGCTGCTTGTAATATCTTTGATAATATATGTAAATTAATTTCTTCACTTTCGAGAATATTTAAATATTTCGTTTTTTTCCCTTTTGCATCAAAACAAAGATCATATAGAAATTTTGAAAAGACTTTGTAGCATTGACTCCTGATTCTTTGAAAATTAAACACAAATTCTTAACACTTATTTTGTTTGCTTCAAATGATTTCAAATAATTTGTTTTATTCCCCGCTTTATCAAACCAAAGATTATATAATTTTTCAAATTCTTGTGATGCATAAATTCCTGATCCATAAATTATAATACAAATGTGCATTAAATTTATATTTTCTCTTTTTAAATTTTTTAAATAAAACCTCATTTGATGATTTTTATCAAACCAAAGCATATACAATTCTCTAAATGCATAAATTGCATCATTTTTTGATCCTTTCAAAACTTTTGACACATATACCGATGATATTTTATTTTGCTGAAATATTTCTAAATATTTTTTTCCATCTCCTCGCATTAAAAATGTTAAAAATTCATTAAACTGTAAATTATTTTCATTTCCAAAAATAACATTAGCAAATTTATATTCCTTCATTTTAAATGATTTTACAGATGTTTTTATTTCTTGTTGTAGATAATTCTCCAATTCTATTGCTGTAAAAGGACCGTGATTAATTAGAGATTTTAAATCTTCCAATTCATATCGACCAATTATTTTTTTTCTTACTTGACTTTCTAGAAAATTATTTAAATTTTGTGCATTATTAATTATAAGCATTTGATCTTTTATTAAACGTTTCAATTTATCTTGAGAACGTTTACCATTTTTCCATGCTGGAAAAAGATTAAAAAGAAAAACAATTTTTCCTCTTAATTCGTTTTTAACAATGTTTTGCCTTCCAATTTGTGATATTGATGCATTTTCAAATTTTTCTCTAATAATCTCTTCGTCAATGCTGTTTGATTCATCGGATGAAAAATCATCACTTGATTCTTCATAATCACTACTATCAATTTCTTTCTTTAATTTTTTAATTGTCCTTTCTACATCACTGGAAATGAATTCTTTTTTAGTAACTTCTGATAATTCTTCATTTTGTTCAGTTTTTACTAATGCACTATTATTTTCTTTTTTTTGAAATTCTTCATCGATTTTTTCAGTGATTTCTGACTTTATATCTTGTTGCATCTCGCAACAAAGTGTAAGCATTAAATTTTTTGTTAAACCGAAAAATTCATGTGACTGCAAATAACGCAACGTTATTTTATACAATTTTTCAAAATCATAAGGAACTTGAGAAATATTTACATTACTTTCGAGAAATTTATACAATTCTTCAGAATTTGGTTGTTTGACAGCAAAAACAATTTTATTGAGAAACAATTTCTTTACTTCATTTTCGGTGAAATTGGAAAATTTTCCTACTTCTTTTCTCGAGTGAAAACAAGCTGGAATTGTCAGTAAATCCATAATTTTTTCCGCTTCATCTTGCGAAAATTGGTAAAGATTATTTGTATTAATGTAGGAATTTTTGAAAATAGCAAATTTTTCTTCCATAACATCTAGTTGATTGAATTTTAGACGATTGGTCACCACCATTTCTTTTGTTAGAAATTTATTTCCTAAAATTAATTCCCTGAGAAGTGTAACGCTTAAATTTGTGTAAATAACAAAATAATCGAGATTTTCATCTAATTCTTCAATAAAGAAAGAAAAATGTGAATCAATTGAGAAAATGTCTCTTTGTTTCGTTAATTCCATAAGAGATAATTTATTGACATCTACCTCGAGAGGCCTTAGGTAAAAAAAATTATTTCTAAAATTTATACTAATATTGTTAAAAGCGATTTTATTATAAATTCTCTCTTCGAATTTAATCGCAACAATATTTTCATTCATAAACATATCATGAATGCAAAACATAAATAAATTAAAACTGTAGATAGTAGATTGGATATTTTCGATATTTATATTTTCCTTTTTCTCATCCTCTATCAATTGACTAATTATCTCGTTTCTAAGTTTGTTTAAATTTTCATTTTTTTTTTCTAATTTCTCGCCGAACATTATCAATTAATTCCTCTAAATTTGGTTGATTAACAGCAAAAATTAATCGATCAAAAAATTTTTGTTTTATTTCTTCAACAGAAAATCCTTTTCTTATTATTTCCCTGATAATGTTGTCTTTAAATTTTACCAATTTGAATAATTGATTTCGTGTTTTTTCATCATTAGCAAATTGATAAAATTCTCCATTACTTTTGAATAAATCAACTAAAACATTGTGAATATTTGAATTGATATTGGTAAATTGAAGATCACAATTTGTTGTTTCAATTTGTTTCAATTTTTTATCCATTGTCAGAATTAAAGCTGAATTTGTGTAGATTATTAAATATTTCGGTAGATTTAATTTAAAATTTGAATGAAAAAGAAAAGTTGCAAATTCATTGAGATAATTTCTCAGTGTAAAATTTCCATTTCTATTTGAAAAAAATGAATCAAAATCCAAACTTGCTTTTATGTAATACGTATCAACGTGTTGTATTTTTATGCAAATTGCTTCTTCTCTAAAACACAGGATAATATTGTCAAATTGACCGCTTACAGAATTTTGAAATATTATTGAATCTTTGGAATTTTTAAATGAAGATTTTTTCAATAAACACAAAGTAGATAATTCTAATTGATACGTGTGACTAATTAAACAATAAGGAGAAGAATTTTTCAATTGTTGAAATTTGTTCATTTCATTTGAAAATTGTTTTGTGCTTGTTGACGCTTCACAAACGCCTACACCTATAGCAAAAAATTATATACATAAATATTTGTTTAAAATCAAAAATATTTCACCTTAAATTCATTGCAGACTATTTTTATAGAAAATTTTCATGAGAATTATTTTTGGTAAAATTAGAAGAATAATACAAATTATTTCTATAATTAGAATGTTTTCTAAACAGTCTGCAATGACTTTGAAAGTGAAATATATTAAAATTGTTTTTAGATTATCAAAAAATAAATAAATAAAATGGTAACGAAAAGAATACTAAAACGTACATTCTTTATTCCGATATTTAACTGCTTTTTCCATTGTTTTTTATTTGTTGAAAAATTTTTCTTTATTACTTTGTTGTCAAATAAAAGACTGTTTTGATAATTCTTCACATTATTATTAATTCAAGCTGAAGTCGATTCCTTCATTTATCATTGCGGTGAATTTATTATAACATCAGGAATACTGAAATTAATAATAAAATATCAAATTATTTCTTATTTAATTAGGTTTTACGTCAGCTTCAATGTGAAAAATTTTAAATAAATTAAAGTGAACGAATTTTGTTTACAAGAATAAATTTTCATTTCTTGGAATATTAAATAAAAATTTGTTTAAATGGATATTTTCGATAATGAAAATTCGAAAATATGAAAATTATGATAAATGGAAATTCGATAAAAATAGAAAACATATCAAAAAGTTCGCTGATAAGTATAAATTCAGTAATATATGAAAAATCAATTAAAATTCTATCAAATGAATAATTTGCACAATTGAAGCGTCGAAAAAACACATGATGTATATTAATAATTATATTTAGAGAATAAAAGCTCATTCACTTGTTTTTTGAATCGGTTGGGAGCTCGAGTGAATCCGCATTCTTAAAAGAAAATTTCCGATTCAAGTCGATTTTATTTTTAATGTTTTTTTTTTATTTATTTATTTAATAATAGTAATGTTGAGCGAAAATTATATATATTTTTCGGGTTCAAAATGTATTATGAGGTCTAACAATCATTTATTGAAGTAGCTCAATTGTATATTATTTACAATTTCTAAATTATGTGCGAAATATGACAACCTAACCTCAAAATTTTCGATCTTATTAACAGTTGTCAAAATTAAGTAAATTACAAATTAATGCAAAATTATGAAAAATGAACTTCTATTTAATTCCCTACATTTCGATTGGAAATATCAATTATCAATCCACATTCTTAAAAAATAACTCCGATTCCCGAAAGCATTCACTTAATTTTTTTTATCTATTTGTAAAATTACAACACAATTAACAAAAGAATAACTCACACAACATCCAATAATTGAACAAGATTTACATTATATAATCTCAATATAAACATAAAATAATGAGAAACTCGCTCAGTAACAAATTATCGCAGAGTTTTGACAAATCGGCAACAAACGATTCAGTCACGTGACAATTATGTGGCGCGAAAATTCGATTAAACAAAAATTAGATGTAATATGTAAATATTTATAAGATATATTGAAGAATTTCGATCAATTAAGTTGTAAAAAAAATAGTATTCATTATTACTGCAAAAAAAAGTTATATTTTCGCAATTTTAATCGGAATAATCTTCCAATATTTCATGTTTATTTTTCCTTAAATGTTATTTTAAGTAATTATTTTTATATTATCACTTTTAATGAGCATTAGTTTTATAATAATAGTTATGTACTGAAAATTTTTCGAATAAATCTTAAAATGAAGTATTTGAATTACAAAAAGAAAATTTTGAACTGATTATTTTTTTTAATAACAAATAAGAATGAGGAATAAAAAAAAAAATTTTCAATAAAATTATATTTCTTAATTATTATTTTAAAAATTGTTAAACAATGAAAATAATAAAAATATATGTAAAATATCGTGTTTTTTAATATTAAAAATTTTAATTATTTACCAAATAAGCGTACACAATTTTTTAATAGCTACAAAATTTAAAAAAAATTAAAATGTTCAAATAAAATAAATAAACGAAAATATAAAATAACTTTGAAAACCATAATTATAATTTATAAATGCCTCAGTTTTTATTGATTACAACGAAATTTTTAAATCATTTTTTCAAAAAATGATTTTTTATTTATTGTTTTTTAAATTATATTTAAAATATACGTACACAAAAACATTTATGTTTAATTCACTTAATATTAATATTAAAATTACGAAGAGACAAACAAATTTTTTCTCTTTAAAATCCATTAAATTTCAGATAAAATCTTGCCAAATGTTTTAATATCTTGATAAGAAAAGTAACTCAGAATTATTTCAATAACAAGAATTGGCAAATTCATTTTTCTGTAATTTAGAAAAAAATTAACAATAATATCAAAATAATTTTTCAAATTTACAGCCCATCTACATCGATGAAGAATCGAAGTACCAAAGTAAGAAAATTGATTGCATTTCAAATCAAGTAATTCCTGTTTCATTTTTTTATTTCCAATAATTCGAATTGCAGTTGAAAAATCTCGTGCCAAAAAATCATAATACGTATAAAATGAATCATTATCCTCCTTTAAAATCTTACGTGATTTCAATTTTTCCAAGTCAAATTTCAGTTCATAAAACAATTTAAATCCTTCTCCATCATTATTTGGATTCAAACAGCAAAGAAAATAATTATTTATATTATTTCTTGTCAACGCAAGATAGGACATAAGAGCACATAAAGATTTATCAATGACTGGCAATATTGGATGATTGTATGAACCCAAACAATGAGTGCCCGTTATATGTTGATTTTCATCATTCGAATCTCGTTTTAATAAAATATCACCTCTTAATTCCAACAGCATTAAAATAACAGCACTGTTACGATGCCACAATGCCATACCAAATACAGTATCACCATCATTATTTTTAACACTAAGACTCGTACCACGTTCAATGAGAAATTCAATCATTGATAAATCAACATCAATTACTTCTTCTTGTATTAAAAACATAAGTGGAGTATTTCCTTGATTATTTTTCACATCAATATCAAGACCATTATTTAATAAGAAATCAACAATTTCAATTGATTGTGTATAAACAACGGCATAATGAAGAATTTTATTTCCACAAGAATCTTCAACATGAATATTTGCACCATATTTTAAAAGAATTGACATTTCTTCTAAACGTTTAGCTTTACAAAGGTGAAAAAGAATTTTTTTTCCATTATTACCTTCTCTATTCGCATCAGCTCCATGCTTAAGCAATAATTCCATAATATTTGAATTAAAAAGAATTCTTCTTGAATATTGACGAAATATATTAATTGTCAAATTGTTAAAACCCCAAGACATTTTACCCAAAAAATAACCACAAACTATATGCAAAGGATTATTTTCACCATCGTCGTTTGAATTAACATTGGCTTCAAATTTGAGGAGAAGTTTACATATTTTAACATTTTCAAGACGTACGGCATAATGAAGTGGTGTCCATTTGACATTATTTTTACAATTTACATCAATTCCTTCAATTAAAAGAAAATTTATAGCTTCCAAATGTTGTTGACTCACAGCATAGTGAAGAGCAGTTTCACCATAACCATTTTTAATATTTAATATTTCCAAATGTTTCTTATTTTTTTTTCTTTTCTCAGCTTTTGCCAAATAATTACGACAATCGTTTAAAATAAATTTTAAAATATTCTTATTACCAATTTTTGCAGCAAAAAATATTAATAATGGATAATTGTACTCATTTCGTAGTGACAAATTTTTATCGTATAAAAGAAATTTTATCAAATTTTCCGTATTTTCCAAAGAGTCGACTAAATTTTTTTCAACAATTGCATTTTGTAATAATAGTCGAACAATTTCTTCAGTTCCATAATATAAAGCGTTACGAAGAAGATTTTTATCAATGTGAGTTTTTTCATTGAAAAGTAATTTAATCATTTCAAAGGAATTTCTCAAGGCGTAAAGAATTGGAATTTCGCCATCAAAATTTTTAATATTAACATTCGCTCCTAGTTTTAATAATTGATTTGCAATTTTAATTGTGCCACTTTCGGCTACAAAATGAAGAAAAGTATCGCCATTATCCGCCGCCTGTAGAACATTTTCTTTGGATATTATTTTATTTATGCGATTTATATCATTTTTTTTTAATGCATTTTTGAATTTACGTATATCGCCGATTGAAAGTGTTTCTTTCTTTGTTGTTGTTGTGTACGACATTTTTATTTTATTTACAGAATTCAGTTAATTTTCAATTATATCCAATGTTCTTTAACCGATTCCTGAGAAAAAAGAAATTATATAAAATTTATAATATACAAACTAAAAATTAAGTGCTAATAAAAATTGATTTAAAAAAAAAATCCGATTTTTTTTTATTTAAATCAATTTTCTCTTTTATTTACATCACATTTTTCAAAAGTTAATTTCTAAATTATTTGTTTTTTAATAAATTATTAAACGATAAATTTAATAATTAAATAATAATCATGAAAATATTTATATTTTTATTTTTATCAAAGAAAATAATATTTTTGAATTAAAAACTAAAAATTATCCAATAATTCATATGCTTTTCATAATTGTTGATTTTCTAAAAAGTGAATAATTTTGAAAAATTATACCTTAAAATATTTGAATTACTAGAACTTTTTTTTATAGAAAATATTAGAACTGATATAAAATTTTTTCAACTAAAATTCTAAGAAATATTTTTTTTTTTTTATATTTTGATTTTTGCAATTTTAATAATTTTGTAATACCAAACAAAATTGTTGATATAAATCAAATGACACGTTTTTAAATATTTTCTTTTTTAAACAAATTACAATAGTTTTGACGTACAATTCAAAATTTAATATTTTCAAAAGGCAAATAATTTTCGATAAAATGTCAATTGGAAATTTTTAATGTAGCCAAATTTTTTATTGATAATCACGAATTAAACGATTAATAAATTGTTCAGAATCACGAAAAAAGCGTACAAAAAATTTAGCAACGAATAATAATAAAAATTGTACAAACACTTGAATTTTTAAAGAATTTACATTAAAATTTAGACAAATAAAAATTGATCTTTTCTTTTTTTCAGAACCTAAAATCATATTTCAGTACGAAAAATGAAAAAAGGTAAATAAAGTAAAGAAGAGCAATAAAAAATAATAGAAATTATGAGGAAAGTTCAAATTTTTATTTTTCGAGAATTTTGAACTTTATTTAAAAATTATTAACCATTTTTTGATGTATTTTTTATATTATAATTTTAAATACTAAATATTGTCAAAGAGAATTTATATTTTATGTATTATGTCAAAATAAATGAAAAATAATTATGTATACTTTACCATATGAGGATTAAAAGGACTGAATTCTTTTATATAATTATGTATATAGATGCCTTAAAATATTCAAGAAATATTATTTATTTATGTTAAACTTGTGTTGAATAAACAGAAAAAATATTCTTCCAAAATTATCAAAACAAGTTACAACTGGCAAGGAAGCATTTATAGCAAAAAACAAAGTTGAGCCACTTCTGTTTTTTTTAAGGTACTTATATACCTCAAATTTCGATCAGATGAACATTATTTCTGGACCGTGAAAATGCGTGAAAAGTCATTTTCACGGCGGGTATTTTTGAATTGTTTTAAACAAAAAATGTTTTTTTTTAAGAAATATAATATTAAATAATTGTTTTAATATGTAAGAACACTTTAAAATAGTGATAGAGAGATGATTTGATTAAAAAATTTAGCAAATTTTGCTTTAAAACGTTTTCTGCTACAAGAAAGTGTAAAATGACGATGTTTGTGAAATGGTTTGTACAGTGCTTCTTCCTTGTTAGTGTCTCTCAGAGTTTTGTTTATGTTATGTCGGTTCTTTTTAACTTGTAATAAATAATGAGTGCTGAAAATAAATCGGTAAGTTGAAATGTTTGTCAAATAAATTTAAATTCAACTAATTGTTTCGAATAACTGAAAGAAACATGTACACATGTACACTGTACAAACCATTTCACAAACATCGTCATTTTACACTTTCTTGTAGCAGAAAACGTTTTAAAGCAAAATTTGCTAAATTTTTCAATTAAATCATCTTTTTATCACTATTTTAAAGTGTTCTTACATATTAAAACAATTATTTAATATTATATTTCTTAAAAAAAACATTTTTTGTTTAAAACAATTCAAAAATACCCGCCGTGAAAATGACTTTTCACGCATTTTCACGGTCCAGAAATAATGTTCATCTGATCGAAATTTGAGGTATATAAGCACCTTTAATTTTTTGACAGACAAATATAGAGTAGAACGTTCGAAATGTGAAACGTATGGATCAGATTATTATGCAGGGTAGGAAACATATGTATATTACATTAAGGTGGTTTTACAATAGCTTTGTAATCTATACTTTTCTTTTACTTTATATTTCCACATGTGCGCGCGCAACATTCTTTAGTTGTTGAAAATTAAATTAATTAATGAATTACTATAATGATGCAAAATACTGTATCGGAACGTGTCAAATTTTGATGTAATTGAAAAAAAGCCAATAGGCACACAAACATTGTTGTAGAAGCACCTTTACGCTCAACTATACATCTTCGATGTGTCACATTTTGAAGGTTCCTCTCACGTTCCTCTTTAGATTCGATTGTAGAACAAGCTTGAATTAAAATTACATTTTGCGAAGTATTTTTTCAAGATATATTTTTAATGTTTGTATAATATTTCTTCTATTTTAAAAAATGTTGAAATAAAAGATCGAGAAATTATTATTCTTTTTCACTTTCCATTAGGTAAAGTATTTAGAATTATTGACATAATCAATTTTTTTTTTATATTTTGATATTAAAAAACCCTAAAATGTTATCCGATTTTTCTATATAAAAATTTTAGTATTTTTTTTACAAAAATATTAGTTATTTAATTATAATAATAAAAATAATATTTAATTACATAAAACATACACAAAAAAAATTTTTAAATTTGTTTATACATTTTTTTTTTTTAGAAAAAATTGGAAGATAAAAAAAGTTAGAGAAATAATAATGCAAAAAGTAAAAATGTTAAACGTAGGAGTTAATTCAAGTCACATTATGTGTCGATTTCGAAATGCCGTGAGATCAAATAATATTGTTCGTATTAATGAAATACTTTCTGAAAAATATATTCAACAAAATATTGACAATTATAGTAATATGTTTCTTTGTTTTGTTGCCGAATATGGAACAGTTGAAATTGCAAATAAATTACTAAAATTAGGTGCAAAAATTCACAATGAAAATGGAAAATCACCAATTTTTTATGCAATTAAAAATTCCGTTGAAATGGTAAAACTACTTCTTGATGAAAAAACAATAATTGATTTAAATTTTATTCGTCACACTCTATATTTTGGTAATGAAGAAATTTTACGACTATTATTACAAAATACAATTGAAATAAAAAATAATGAAAATTTAGTCATTCAATTGGAGAATGTGGAAAATTTGATAGAATTTCTTTTAAATAATAAAAATTTATCATTACTGGAGACAAAATATAATTATCCATTGTTAATATTTTTTGCTGCAAAAATTGATAAATTGAATATATTAAAATTAATATTAAACAATTGTCGTGAATATTTGGGAAAAAATAAAAAAGGAACAAAAAAATGTTATCGTAATTTAGAAATAATTGATGTACAAAATAATGTTGGTGAAACGGCACTTCATTATGCAGTGAGTCAACAAAATTTTAATGCCATTCGTTTTCTATTGGAGGAAGGTGCAAATCCAAATTGCAAAAATATTTCTCAATTAACGCCACTTCATTATTCTGTAATTCTTGAAAATTATGAAATTTCTCAATTACTTCTTAATTTTGAAACAAATGCCAATTCAAATAATCGTAATAATCCTTTACATTTGATTTGTGGATTTAAATTAGAATACATTTTTCATGGTTTCGATGATTTGTCAATTCAAATATTTCATTATTATAAGGGAAAAATTATTTACAATCAAGAAATAATGAAATTATTACTTAAGCGTGGCGCTAATCCTAATAGTGATGGATATAATGGAAAAAAACTTTTTATTCATCTTTGTCAAGCTAAACGTTTTAAAGAAATGTCAATTCTTTTAGAATTTGGTGCCAATATTTGTGTTACCGATAATGATGGAAATACGGCACTTCATTATATTGTTGTCAATGGTAATTTTATTTCAATTGTTGATTTTTTATTGAAAAATGGTCTTGAGATTGATGTTAAAAATAACAATGAAAATACACCGCTAATGTATTTGATACAAAAGGAAATTCGACCAAATTTAAAAATGATTGAACATCTCATTTATCGTGGCGCAAGTCTCAATGTTAGAAATAAAATTGGCAATACTGCTTTTGATATTGCTGTTTATTATGAACGATCTGATGTTGTATTAACATTATTAGAATTAGGAGAAGGTAAAATATTAAAACACAAATCAAGTTCTGAATATCCACATATAACGGGAAATGTATGTTATGGTTCATTAATGCCAAATTCAAAAAGTCAAGAAATTCTAATTTCTCATATTGCATTGAGAAGAGATAATATTGATGATTATTTTGCCTGTTGTTTAAATCCAATTGATAAATGGCATCTCAGTTTGTATTGGTCTCATTATTCAGAAAAAACTAAAGGCATTGGAGTTTTGATATTTAATAAAACAAAATTTGAATTTGAAAAATTAAAATCGTGTAAAATTTTAAATGAAATTGGAATTTTTTATACGTATTATGATTTTTTGGCAAGAGATTTTCTAACGGCAATAAGAATTATTAAAAATCCTCTAATGAGACAAAAATTATTGAATTTTAAAAAATTACCAAATTTTTATCATTCTAAACAATTGCTTGAACATCGTTTTAATTTGGTTATTGGATTGGAGGATTATTATGATAAAATTGTTTATTTCTTTTTAAATTATGGTAAATTAAGATTACCAATTCTTGTTGTTGAATTAATTCTCAGTTATTTTTCTTGTCGTGATTATCAACTTTTTGGAAAAATGTTGTCCGAATTGAAAAATTAAGTATTTAACTTTAAAAATTTTTAACAAAGAGATTTATAATTTTAAAAAATTGTTATCGAAAGAACATTGGAATTCGTCTTTCTTTTTATGTTAATAACTTTGATGCAAAAAACAATTTTTGAATTTAGAAAAAATTGTTTAATTATTTTGAAAATGTATTCTCACTATGCGTAAAAATTAATATGTTAATTTACTGTATTGTGGAAAATAAAAAAAAATTAGTTTTAAAAATATATAAATTTGTCTTATACTATTCATTTTTTTATGAAATAAAAAGTAGAATTCATTTTTATTTTTATTTTGTTCGAGGTAAACCATAAGAATAATAATTAAAATACCGAATAAAGATTACGTATAAAAATTCAATAATAATAATAATAATAATAAAAATTCAGATAAACAAAATTTTTTCAATTTAAAATCTAAATTTTGATTAATTCTAAAAATCTGAACTCTAGAAATTTAATAATTTTTTTGAATTTCTGTTTACAAATTTTTCGCCGAGTTAATTATTTCCAAAAACATTACATTTTATAAATAAAAACATCAATTTTCACGTGGAAATAATTATTTTTATTCAAAAAATTTTTAATTAATAAAATATGTATATGTATAAATTTTCTTTTTTCTATAAAAAATAGTAATTAATGTTTTTTTCTCACATAGAAATGTATAAAAAATATTTATCAAAATTGCAACAACAATATGTATTATTTTTACAATATTAAATGCACAAGTACGTTTAAATTACATAAAAAAAAACTAACTAAATTTTTTTTTTTGTTTAAATAATTCTGATATTTGTAAATTACTTTTTAATCAGAATTGGAAAGTTTTTTAAAACTATTTATCAACTTTAATTCGTGTACTATAACTTTTACTATAATGAATAATTAAATTAAAATTTAATTTAATTATTTATTAATAAAAAATACATTATAGTATTAGTTACATTATATAGCTAAATTATTCTTTTAAAAAAAAATATTCTTATATAATAATAGTACGATATGAAATTGGTCACAAAACAGAACAAGATAAAAAATAATCGTATTAGTAACAATCTACCCTTTTGTTTCAAAATATGTTATTGTTTGAGCAAGATATTTAAAACAAAAATCTATTTTTTATGTTGTAGAACAATTATTAAAATTTACTGAATTTTACATCGTGATGCCTCTTTAAATTGTTCCCTATAAATTTTTTCATTTATTTCATGAACTGAAAATTCTTCTTCGTAATCACTATCAGATTCTTCCTTTGATATTCCAATTGTCTTTTTTTCATCCTCAAAAATCAATTTCTCCTCTCTACTTTGTAATGATTTATCATTATCACTTTTTATTTCTTTCTTTACATCCCTCAATAATGCGGAATTCATTTCTCTTGTTTCTTGAAATTCAAATATTTTTTCACTAACTTGATTTGTTGTTTTGATAATTTTCAAATTCACATCTCGTTGAAATTGTGAATTTTGCGAATCAACAAGTTTTTGAAATTCTTGTAAAGCAAGACAACCTTTACCATTCAAAATTCTACAAATTTCTGGCAAATATATTTCATTTGCTTCGAGAATTTTTAAATAATCAGTTTTCTCTCCATTACTGTGAAACCAATGTGAATGAAGATTTTTAAAAATATTGTCAATTTCAAGTTCAGTTTTCACTAGAATATCAAAAATTGTTGCAATTTTTACATTTTCATTTTCAAGTGTGAGTAAATAGAATGTTTTTTGTCCTGCAGCATCAAACCAAAGATTGTACAATTTTTCAAAAATTTCCGAAGCATTTTTTCCAGATCCTTTTAATAAAATACAAACTTTATGTAAACTAATTCCCAGTTTTTCCAAATTTTGCAAACGTATCGTTTTTTCTCCATTTTTATTAAACCAAAGTTTGTAAAAATTTGAAAATGATTCTTCTGATTTATGTAAAACATTGTATATAATTAATAAATTGATTTTATTATTTTCTAAATTCTTCAAACAGGGCGTTTTAGTTCCATCTTCATTAAACCAAAAAGCATAAAATTCTTTGAATTTTTGTACACAATTGACTCCAGTTTTGTTTAAAAGTAATGAAATGTTTGATAAACTGATTCCCTCTTTTTCTAGAGATTCTAGACAATTTGTACGATTTCCCAAATCATCGAACCAAAGATCAAATAAAGTTTTAAGAAGTTTTGCACCACTTGATCCTGAACCTTGGAGCATATTGGAAATACTCTTAATATTCCATCCTTTTTTTTCTAAAATTTGTAAAAATCCAGTCTTATTTCCTTGATTGTCAAAGCATAAATTATAAAAATCAGTAAACGATTTAATGGCTTCTTTTCTCTTTGATCCTTCAATAATTTTTGATATGTGACAAATTTTTATTTCATTTCTTTTTAGAACATTCAAATAAATTTTTCCATCTTTAGTTAAAAAATTCATAAATTTACCAAATTCGACTACATCCACTGAGCCAAGAACACGTCTTGCAAAATTAATTTCTTCATTCAAAGAATCATTTTTAATTTGTAGTTTATTATTTTTTGAATCATCACAAAATTTTAGAATTAATTCTTTTGTTATAGTGTCAAATTTATAAGATTGTAAATAATGTAAAGCGATATGATGCAATTTTTTGCTATTATATGGCACTTGTGAATTTTTATCTATATTTTCGAGATATTTATACAATTCGTCAGAATTTGGTTGTTTGACAGCAAAAACGATTTTATTGAGAAACAATTTCTTAACTTCATTTTCGGTGAAATTGGAAAATTTTCCTACTTCTTTTCTCGAGTGAAAACAAGCTGGAATTGTCAGAAAATCCATAATTTTTTCCGCTTCATCTTGTGAAAATTGGTAAAGATTATTTGTATTAATATAGGAATTTTTGAAAATAGCAAATTTTTTTTCCATCACATCTAGCTGATTAAATTCTGAACGATGAATCACCTCCATATATTGTGTTAGAAATTTATTTCCTAAAATTAATTCCCTGAGTAGTGTGACACTTAAATTTGTGTAAATAACAAAATAATCGAGATTTTCATCTAATTCTTTAATAAAGAAAGAAAAATGTGTATCAATTGAGAAAATGTCTCTTTGTTTTGTTAATTCCATAAGAGATAATTTATTGACATCTACCTCGAGGGGCCTTAGGTAAAAAAAATTATTTCTAAAATTTATACTAATATTGTTAAAAGCGATTTTATTATAAATTTTCTCTTCGAATTTAATCGCAACAATATTTTCATTTAAAAACATATCATGAATGCAAAACATAAATAAATTAAAACTGTAGACGGTAGATTGGATATTTTCGATATTATTTTCATTTTCCTCCTCATCCTCTATCAATTGACTAATTACCTCTTCTCTAAGTTCTGTAAAATTTTCATTATTTTTTTCAATTTCTCGCCGAACATTATTAACTAATTCTTCTAAAGTTGGTTGATTAACAACAAAAATTAATCTATCAAAAAATGTTTTTCTTATTTCTTCAGCAGAAAATCCTTTATTTTTAATTTCTTTAGTAATATTTTTTGTAAATGTTACCAATTTTGATAATTGATTTTGTGTTTCTTTATCAGTAGAAAATTTATAATATATTTCATTTTTTTCGAATAATTCTGATAAAATATTATCAGTTTTTAAATTAATGCTTACAAATTGAGGTAAATCACATTTTTTCATTTCTTCATTATTATTAATTAATTTTTTATTTTTTGTCATATGTAAATTTGCATTTGTGTAGATAATTAAATATTTCGGTACATTGGAGATAATATTTGAATAAAAAAGAAATTCCGCTGCAAATTCATTGAGATAATTTCTAAGAGTAAAATTTCCATCTCTATTTGAAAAAAATGAATTATAATCCAAACATGTTTTTATATAATAAGTATCAATATGTTGTACTTTAATGCAAATGTTTTCTCCTTTAAAATACATGACAATATTGTTAAATTGACCAGATGAGGAATTTCGAAATATTATTGAATCTGATGGATTTTTAAATATCGATATTTTAAGTAAACATAAAACGGATAACTCTAATTGATATAAGAGATTTATTAAACGATGAGGATAAGAATATTCCAATTGTTGAAATTTATAGATGTCAGGAATAATTTCAAGTGTATTTGTTAAGGATTTTTGTTTAAATTTTCCATTTTCTTTCAAGACACTTCCTTCATCGTTTATTTCATTTGATGATTTTTTTATGCTGGATTTTAATTTACAAACGTCTGCATCTAAGGCAAAAATTACTTACGATTAGTGTTGAAAAAAAATTTAAATTCTTTGCTATTTTTATATTTGATAATTCACAGAAATTGTAATGTAAAATAAATTTTAGGTATAATTATATAATTTACTGCATTAATTATTTCTTTTAATTTCGAATTTGAGTCATAAGGTAAAAAAAAAATTGCTACGCAAAAATTAGAAAAATGTGAAATAATTTTTTTTTTTTTTCAAAAAACAGTAAATAAAAGTAACGAAAAGAAATAGTTACTAAATAAAACATACATTTTTTATTCTGGTATTCAACTGATTTTTCCATTTTGTTGAATATTTGTTTATTTTTATTGCTTTGTAGGCAGATTTTCTTCTTCCTCTAAATCTAAAATTAAAAAAACTTAATTGTGGAACAAAAAACAATTTTTTAATGCAAAAAAAAAAAAATTTTTTTGGGTTTAAGATACTAACAATTAAAATTCTTAGCAGCCTTAAATAGAAAAAAAAAAATTTTCCTCAAGTTTTAGTTGAAAAAATTTTTATCAGTTTCATAAAAGATTTGGATTTTTATGACATTTCTTTAAATATTTATTACTAAGTTACGACGACTTTGTATTATCTTCGCCTAGTTTTGTTTTCTCATATTTTGTTAATTTTTCAAATTTTTTTTTTAAATAACATCGTATTATTAGTACATTTGATGTAAATTAAAAAAAAAATATATAAAAATTTATAAAATTATAAAATTAAATTATTCTCCGATATCTAATCTGATAAAAAGGATGACACATAAATTTGATTAAATTTTTTTTTACCTTTTCAATTTTTGTTGTTTTTAGTTCTAGTTTGTAATTAATACATTTTCAGAATTTTTAAAACAATTTACAAAAAACACTATTTTATTATTTTATTTTCTAAAATAGTTTACGTGAGCATATTTTATATAAAATGTAAATAATTTGTACATTATTAAATTCAATTGACATTATTGTTATTATAATGATAAAATTTATGTGACAAATAGTTAATAATTTTAGAGGGAAATTTTTTAAACAAAAATTCAAAAAATATTAATAAGAGGATAACTTACAGAATAACGTTTTGAAATTTCAACAATTATAAAAACAAGTAATATAACCTTTGTTTTGGTTTCAAATGTAAACATAACTCATAAATTTATCGGTCTGAGCACAATAAACGGCGAAGACGACTAAAAGCAGGGATGTGTATGGCTGTGTGATAACGGTAGTAACGTTACTTACCGATACATAGCGTATACCCACATCACACAGTATTTATCGTATTTATTAATTGTCTTAATTGTATGTAGTATTTTTTTATTTAGTTATTAAATTAATATTATTTATAGTCTTTGTATATTTATTTAAAAACAAAATTTATACTTTTATATAAATCTCGTTGAAATGTCAAGATGTTATTCTGTGTGAGTTATTTATTTATTTTTTTTTTTTGTAATTTTACAAAATAGGGAAAAATTTAGGAATCGGAGTTAATTTTTAAGAATGCGAATTGATAATTGATATTTCCAATCGAAATGTAGGGAATTAAATAGAAGTTCGTTTTTCATAATTTTTCATTAATTAGAAATTTACTCAATTTCGACAATTGTGAATAAGATCGAAAATTTTGAGGTTAGGTCGTCATATTTCGCACATAATTTAGAAATTGTAAATAATATATAATTGAGCTACTTCAATAAATGAGTCTTAGACTTCATAATACATTTTGAACCCGAAAAATACATATAATTTTCGCTCAACATTAATATTATTAAATAAATAAAAAAAAAAAAAACAAAAATAAAAACGACTTGAATCGGAAATTTTCTTTTAAGAATGCGGATTTACTCGAGCTCCCAACCGATTCAAAAAACAAGTGAATGAGCTTTTATTCTCTAAATATAATTATTAATATACATCATGTGTTTTTTCGACGCTTCAATTGTGCAAATTATTCATTTGATAGAATTTTAATTGATTTTTCATATATTACTGAATTTATACTTATCAGCGAACTTTTTGATATGTTTTCTATTTTTATCGAATTTCCATTTATCATAATTTTCATATTTTCGAATTTTCATTATCGAAAATATCCATTTAAACAAATTTTTATTTAATATTCCAAGAAATGAAAATTTATTCTTGTAAACAAAATTCGTTCACTTTAATTTATTTAAAATTTTTCACATTGAAGCTGACGTAAAACCTAATTAAATAAGAAATAATTTGATATTTTATTATTAATTTCAGTATTCCTGATGTTATAATAAATTCACCGCAATGATAAATGAAGGAATCGACTTCAGCTTGAATTAATAATAATGTGAAGAATTATCAAAACAGTCTTTTATTTGACAACAAAGTAATAAAGAAAAATTGTTCAACAAATAAAAAACAATGGAAAAAGCAGTTAAATATCGGAATAAAGAATGTACGTTTTAGTATTCTTTTCGTTACCATTTTATTTATTTATTTTTTGATAATCTAAAAACAATTTTAATATATTTCACATTCAAAGTCATTACAGACTGTTTAGAAAACATTCTAATTATAGAAATAATTTGTATTATTCGTCTAATTTTACCAAAAATAATTCTCATGAAAATTTTCTATAAAAATAGTCTGCAATGAATTTAAGGTGAAATATTTTTGATTTTAAACAAATATTTATGTATATAATTTTTTGCTATAGGTGTAGGCGTTTGTGAAGCGTCAACAAGCACAAAACAATTTTCAAATGAAATGAACAAATTTCAACAATTGAAAAATTCTTCTCCTTATTGTTTAATTAGTCACATGTATCAATTAGAATTATCTACTTTGTGTTTATTGAAAAAATCTTCATTTAAAAATTCCAAAGATTCAATAATATTTCAAAATTCTGTAAGCGGTCAATTTGACAATATTATCCTGTGTTTTAGAGAAGAAGCAATTTGCATAAAAATACAACACGTTGATACGTATTATATAAAAGCAAGTTTGGATTTTGATTCATTTTTTTCAAATAGAAATGGAAATTTTACACTGAGAAATTATCTCAATGAATTTGCAACTTTTCTCTTTCATTCAAATTTTAAATTAAATCTACCGAAATATTTAATAATCTACACAAATTCAGCTTTAATTCTGACAATGGATAAAAAATTGAAACAAATTGAAACAACAAATTGTGATCTTCAACTTACCAATGTCAATTCAAATATTCACAATATTTTAGTTGATTTATTCAAAAGTAATGGAGAATTTTATCAATTTGCTAATGATGAAAAAACACGAAATCAATTATTCAAATTGGTAAAATTTAAAGACAACATTATCAGGGAAATAATAAGAAAAGGATTTTCTGTTGAAGAAATAAAACAAAAATTTTTTGATCGATTAATTTTTGCTGTTAATCAACCAAATTTAGAGGAATTAATTGATAATGTTCGGCGAGAAATTAGAAAAAAAAATGAAAATTTAAACAAACTTAGAAACGAGATAATTAGTCAATTGATAGAGGATGAGAAAAAGGAAAATATAAATATCGAAAATATCCAATCTACTATCTACAGTTTTAATTTATTTATGTTTTGCATTCATGATATGTTTATGAATGAAAATATTGTTGCGATTAAATTCGAAGAGAGAATTTATAATAAAATCGCTTTTAACAATATTAGTATAAATTTTAGAAATAATTTTTTTTACCTAAGGCCTCTCGAGGTAGATGTCAATAAATTATCTCTTATGGAATTAACGAAACAAAGAGACATTTTCTCAATTGATACACATTTTTCATTCTTTATTGAAGAATTAGATGAAAATCTCGATTATTTTGTTATTTACACAAATTTAAGTGTCACACTACTCAGGGAATTAATTTTAGGAAATAAATTTCTAACACAAGATATGGAGGTGATTCATCGTTCAGAATTTAATCAGCTAGATGTGATGGAAAAAAAATTTGCTATTTTCAAAAATTCCTATATTAATACAAATAATCTTTATCAATTTTCACAAGATGAAGCGGAAAAAATTATGGATTTACTGACAATTCCAGCTTGTTTTCACTCGAGAAAAGAAGTAGGAAAATTTTCTAATTTCACCGAAAATGAAGTTAAGAAATTGTTTCTCAATAAAATCGTTTTTGCTGTCAAACAATCAAATTCTGACGAATTGTATAAATTTCTCGAAAGTAATGTAAATATTTCTCAAGTTCCTTATGATTTTGAAAAATTGTACAAAATCACATTGCGTTATTTACAGTCACATGAATTTTTCGGTTTAACAAAACATTTAATGCGTAAATTTTTTAATGATTTAAAAAATAACAAACCACCAATTCAAAGTAAATATTTCATTGAAGAAATTGATTTTGCAAAACGTGTCATTGGCTTAGTGGATGTACCTGAATTTTCACAATTTATGGATTTTTTAACAAAAGGCAAGGGGAAAGTTTATTTAAATGTTCTGAGAAGAAATAAAATAAATCTCTATTCAATATCAAGAATTATTGCCGGAACAAAGAGATGTGAAGCAAAACAATCATTTTGTGATTTGTACAATTTATGTTTTGACAATCAAGAAAATAAAACTGCATTTTTAAGAATTTTAGAAAAAGGTGGATTTAATATAAATAATATTTCTAATATGCTCCAAGGTTCAGGATCAAGTGGTGCAAAAATACTTGATTCTTTTTTCAATCTTTGGTTCGATGCTTTTGGAAATCCAACAAATTGTTTAAAATCTCTGAAAAATGAAATAAATTTATCACGCATTACATTTCTTTTTAGCAATACTGGAGCCAGATGTATTACTATATTCAAAGAAATTTATGCTCTTTGGTTTGATGATTATGGAATTAAAACGCCTAATTTGAAAAAATTAGAAAAAAATGCAATTAATTTGTCAACTATATGCAATGTATTACATAATTCAGGAGAATCATTTCCAATTTTTTACAAACTTTGGTTTGATAAAAATGGACAAAAAACATTGCAATTGTGGAAATTGGAACAAATTGGAATTAGTCTTTTGAAAGTTTGCAGAGTATTGGAAGGATCGGGAAAAAATGTATCGGAAGCATTTCGAAAATTATACAATCTTTGGTTTGATTCTAAAGGACATAAAACATTTTATTTACGAACATTGGAAAAGGAGAGAGTAAAACTTGAAATTGTTTTTGATATTTTAAATCGAACGGGAATTCATGCTGCCGCTATTTTTGAAAATCTTTACGCAATTTGGTTTCACAATAATGGGGAGAAATCTTATTATTTAAAAATTCTCGAAAGAAATGGATATCGTTTGCCAAAAATTTGTAAATATTTAAGTGGTAAAGGTTGTTTAGCTTTGGAAGAGTTTAAAAGACTTTTAAATTTTTACATAAAAACATAATTAAAAACAAAATAAAGAAAAAGAGGAGCATGTTTTTTGTGTATGATGATATAAATTATTTTATTAGTAAGAAGAATTAGAAAAAGAGATTTAGTTACGTGTATAAAAAGATAATTGTGTTTTTAATATATTGTAAAAATTAGTTTTTCTTGTGGATTTGAAAAACTACTGTTAAAAAATATTGTTATACGTTTCTATGTGAGAAAGTACATTTTTTATAAAAAAAAAAATTTATGTTATTAATAATTTTAAATAAATTTTGATGTTTACTTATTTGTTGGTTTTTCTTATTTTCCAGACTGTTGTGAAATTAAATGTTATCACGTTGATATTTCTGAAAGAAAAATTATTAAACATTAAGCATTAGATATTAATAAATAATTAACTAATTTTATCATTTTAGTTTAATAATTGGTTTTATTTTGTAGTTAACAAATTTTTAAATTGAACATTAAAAAAATATATATTCGCCGCTCATAATTATTTATAAAAAAAAAAAAAACATTTTTATTCTCATGTACAAAATTAAAATAACGTTAAAAATTAAAAATTATCAACAATTGTATTAGATACAATTCTTTTAAATTCTAAAAACTGATTTCTATTAGTCTACTTCTTTTTCTTCTTTTTTTCAAATAATTCAATAAATAATTCGTATTTTTTTAATTTCTCCTCAGTAACACAGTCGGTAAGTGTTTTAAATCTCCTAACAGCTTTCTTTCCCGATTCACTTAATATTTCCGCAATGTCCATTAAAGTTATTTCATTTTTCTCCAAAATTAAAAGTCGATTCGTTTTTTTTCCATTTGCATCAAACCATACGTTGTATAATTTCAAAAATTCTTTATAAACTTTTTTTTTTGCTCCACTTATCATTTCAAACATTGCTCTTAATTCTACAATTTTTTCAATATTCAACATATTCAGAGTTTTATTTCCATTTTTATCGAATAAATAGAGAAATAATTTAATAAATATTTCACTTGCGTATGATCCCGTTCCTTTTAAAAGATTTAATAAACATTTTACATTAACATCAGCTTCTTGCAAAATACAAAGAGAATAAGATTTATTTCCCTTTGAATCATACCAAAGATCATATAATTCTTTAATACAATTAAAATCCATTTCATTTTCACACATAATTTCAAATACTGCATCCAATTTTGTTTCTTTTTCCAAATTTTTCAAATAATTCCACTTTCTTCCTCTTTCGTCGAATAAAAAATTGTAAAAATTCACAAAAATTTCAGGTGCTTTTTCTCCTTTTTCAACTAAAATATTTACAATACACTTTAAATTAATATTATTTTCTTCGAGATTTTGAAGTTGTTCGGTTTTATTGCCTTTGAAATTAAACCAAAGTTGGTATAATTTTTCAAAAATTGTTGCCGCATTAATTCCCGAACCAATGAGAATTTCAATGATAATTTGTAAATTTATATTTTCTTTTTTCAAAATTTTTAAACACTTTCTCTGTGTACCATTTTCGTCAAACCAAATTTTTATCAATTCACTAAATCCTTTAATAATATTTTTAGATCCTTTGAAAATTTTTCCCATACATTTCCAAGAGATTTTATTTTTTTTCATAATTTTCCAATATTTTTTCCCATCACCGTGAAGAAGAAAATTTAACAGTTCTTCAAATTCTAAAGAATCATCGTTAGGGAAAATAAATTTTATAAATTTAATTTTCTTCTTGTTACATGAGAATTTTTTAATCTGATCATTTAATTTTCTTTTTGTAAATGGACCATAATTAATTAATGAATTTAAATCCTGAAATTCTTTTTGATTGATTTTATTTTTTCTCAATTTTTTTTCAAGAAATCTATTTAATTTTTCTCCATTATTAATAACACGAAGTATTTTTTTCATTTTTTGTTTCCTTTTAAAAAGTTTAAAAAGAAAATTAATTTTTCGATCCAATTCATTTTTATCATTTTGCATTTTCTCTGTGGGAACTTTTTCTTCACTTTCCAAATCAGTATCAATTTCAAATTTGATATTTGCAATTTCATCTTCACAATTTTCGTATTTTTCATCAATTAAAGATTCACTAGAAATACTTTCAATTTCAATTTTTACGTTTCTATTTTCGTCAAATGTTTCTTGTTTAATTGATAAAATTTCGTCATTAATCTCCAATTTTATTGGTGAATCAAGTGAATGGAAAATATTGAGAAATTTTTTTGTAGCCATTTCACCTTCACCAATTAAAAGTTCACAAATATCGGATAATTTAATTTCATTTGATTCGAGAATTTTTAAATAATTAGTTTTCTCACCATTCTCATGAAACCAATGTGAATAGAGATTGATAAAAACTTTTGAAACATGAATACCCGTTTTTGTTAAAATATCAAAAATTATTGTGAGATTAACATTTTCATTTTCCAATTTTTTTAAATAGAAAGTTTCTTCCTCTCTATGATTAAACCAAAGATAGTATAATTTTTGAAAAGCCACTGCTGCATCTTTTCCCGATCCTTTTAATATTCGACAAATTTGTTTTAAATTTATTTCCCTCTCTTTCAATTTTCTCAAACGAAATGTTTTCTCACCATTTTTATCAAACCAAAGTTGAAATAAATGTTGAAAATGTAATATTTTATTTACATCACTGGGTCCTGATTCATATAAAATATCGTAGACAATAAATAAATTGATTCCATGTTTTTCCAAAATTTTTAAACATTGAGTTTTTTCACCATTTTCATCGAACCAATGTGTATAAAGTGATTTGAATTCGTACAAACAATTTACTCCAGTTTCTTTAAGAAGATTTGTGATTTCACCTGAATTAATTCCTTCATTTTTTAGTGATTTTAAATAAATTGTTGGATTTTCATTATTATCAAACCAAAGATCATATAAAGAGATAAAAATATTTGGACCCTTTGATCCCGAACCATTAAGAATCGTTGAAATGTTGTTTACAAAAAATCCCATTTTTTCAAAATTCTTTAAAAATTTCGTCTTATTACCTTTTTTATCAAACCATAAATAATATAAATCGTAAAAAATTTTTTCCACCTTTTTTTTCTTTGTTCCTTTAATAATATTACCAAAATCAGAGATTTCAATCCCATTTTTTCGCAAATTATTTAAATAAATTTTTCCTTTTTTTGTTAAAAAATCCACAAATTGACAAAATTCAGGCGCATCTCTTAAAATAAGAATACATTCAGCTAATTTTATTTCTTCATCAAAACAAATGTTATTAATTTCAATTTTGTTTCTTAATTCACAAATCAATTTTTTGTTTATTAAATCATAATTCCTTGACATTAAATAACGAAATCCAATTTTACACAATTCTTCACAATTATAGGGTACACGTGAAATTTCTATTTCCTTATTTAAAACTTTATACATTTCATTAGAATTAAATTGTTCAACGGCAAAAATAATTTTATCAAAAAATAATTCTTTCAATTCCATTTTCGACAAATGAGAAAATGTTTCATTTATTTTATTTGTTAGATGAGAAAAAATATTAAGAAATTTTGCAAGTTTCATTCTCGTTTCACCATGTTTGAATTGATAAAGATTTTTCACATCAATATACAAATTTCTTAGTGAAAAATATTTTTCATCACTCACATTTATTTGCTGATAAATTGTATCAAATTTTTTATTGCCCAAAATTAATTCATTGAGAAATTCAAGATTTCCATTTGTATAAATAATAAAATATTCCAAATCTTCATCTAATTCTTGAATAAAATATAAAAATTGTGAATTAAGAGAAAAAATTTCACGTTGTTTGTCAAATTCAATTGATGATAATTCACAAATATTTCCATCAATTGCACGTAAATTGAGATAATTATTTTTACGTAAATTTATCACAATATCAAGTGATTCAATTTTTTCGCTAAATTTAATGGCATTTATGTCTTTATATAAAAACATGTCATGCAAACAATAGATGAATAAATTAAAAATATAATTAGCTGATGTTAAATTTTGATAAATTTTTCCTTTTTTATTTTCATTATCAGATAATAATTGTTGAAAAATTTCTTTTTTTAATTGACTTAAATCTTCATTTTTTCCTTTAATTTCACATCTTACAGTGTCAATTAATTCCTCAATTGTCGATTGATTAACGGCGAATATTAATTTATCCCAAAATAAATTTTTTATCTCATTCAAAGATAATTTTGTTTTTATTTTTGTTTCAATACTTTTGGTAAATTTCACCATTTTTAATAATTTATTTCTTGTTTCTGTATTATTGGCAAATTGATAAAATTCACAATTACTTTCGTTATTGGTTGAAAATAATTTTAATAAATCATTGTGAATTTCTGTATTTACACTACAAAGTTGAAGTGTTTCGTCCATTTGTACTAATTTCTTATCATTCGTTAAATCAAAAGCAGAATTTGTATAAATTATTAAATATTTCGCCGAATGCAATAAAGATTCTGAATTAAGTAATTCTTCAGCAAATTCATTGAGATAATTTTTTAATGTAAAATTTCCCAATTTTGTCGAAAATAATGAATTGAAATTCAAACTTTTTTTTATATAATACGTATCAATATATTCGATTTTAATGCAAATATATTTCTCCTGATAATGCATTATAATATCATTAAATTGTCCCATTTTTGAACGTTTAAATATTATTTGTTCTTTAGAATTGAATTTTCTCAATAAACATAAAACAGATAATTCTAATTTATACATAAAATTAATTAAACGATGCGGATATGAATGTTCAAGTTGATCAAAAAAATTGTGAAATTTTTTTTGTCTTTTCCAATTAATTTCAAAGGAATTTTTATTTTTATCAATTGATTCTTTGGTACTTGATATTTTAGAAATTTCTCCACCTAATTTAGGAAAAAAAAATTGTAATTTAATAAACATTTATTATATATAAATAATAAAGAATAGTAAAAAAAAAAATAAATTAATACCTACATCTTTTTTTATTTTCATTATTATTTAATTCGTCTGTTGCCTTTCGTTTATTATTAACAAATTCATATATTGTTGCTTCTTTTTTTTCGTCGACACTATTTTTTAATTCTTTTTTCGATGTATTGCCCATTTTATTATAATTTATTCCATTTGAAGTTTGTTTTCTTTTTTTAATGATAGAATCCATAAAATTCAAAAAAAAAAAAAACTGAAAAATTTTATAAAATAATTATTCATGATTATAATTATAATAATTATTATAAAGATATTTATATAAATATTTTCATGAATTTTTATTCAATTAAAATAACTTTTTTTGTGAATTAAAAGTAAAAATTCAAAAATTATAATTATTATTTAATAATTAAATAGTTGAGTTACCACAAATTATTATTTAAATTTTTAAAGTAATTTTTCTATTTTTTCCCGGAAATAATAATTTTAATTTGAAAATTTTTTAATTCTAGAAATTTTCAAAAAAAAAATTTTTTTTTCTAAGAATTAAATTCTGGATTTTATTTATTTTATTTTGTAAATTTCTTAATTTTCGAAATTTTTTCTTTTTTTGGAACTGAAATTTTTGATTTTCTCTAGTTTACAAAATTTTCATTTTTTGTAAAAGGGTTTGATGGAAAAAATCAATAAAAATACAAAAAAAAAAATTTCCATCGGAGTAAAGAGGTTAAAAATGAAAAATAAGTTTCAATTTTGAAAAAAGTGAGGTTAACCATTTTTTTCGTAAATTTTTTGCATCTTATGCATTGAAAACTATACATAAAAAATCATTCAAAAAAACCTATTTACAAATTAAAATTCACAGTTTTATCATTAGTTATATACGGATTTGAAATTGGTAGAAGAGTTAAAATTTTGACATTTTAATTACTTAAAATTACAAAATTTTAACTCCTACCAATTTGGATAATTTTTTAAAAAAATGAATTAATATTTTAGAGATTATTAATTATTATTATTAACAGATTAATTTACTGAAGTATTATTTTAATTTTAAGTGGTTTTTTTTCCAAAGAATTTATCGGTTCTCGATTGTGTTTACATTTCATTATATTTACCTTTGTTAAAACGATTCCTTTATATAATCACAAATAACTTAATAGTACTGTATATAGAAAATAAAAAAATTAATTCACTTTCGTTAAATACAAGTTTTTAATACATATATAAACAAATATTTATCTAAATCATCTAAATTTTAAGGAATATGACAGATGAGGATGTGCCAGGGTTGTGTATGTATGTAACATAAATTTCACATCAGCTAGAAGATTTGAAATTTTTTCTCGTAAGGGCAGGGTTGGGATTGTTTAATACGCTATAGTAATACAGTTTTTTACGTGTTTATTACGATAAAAAATAAATATATACAATATTTTACCATATTTTATAATAAAAGTTAGAGTACACAACCCTGAGTGAAAGTTCGTTTTACATTTTGGATCTTCTATCTTGTAACTAAGATTGAAATTGAAAATACATAAACTTAATTTTCTACAAAAGTATTTATTACGATAACATCAGAAAATAATAATTAAACACATAGTAAATGCATATTTGTATTTATCAAACGTAACTGAAAAAAACATCTACGCGTAACTACCCATCTCTGACAATTCAACTTGGACAAACCTTAACTATCGAATTTTCAAGTTTTCCCATCTATATACGAAACTTCCTGCAACGTCATCTATGGTCGATGGCCTTGACTGAACATCTGATTTTGCAGAGCAGTGTACTTAATCAGACTCGAGAGTAAAAATAATCAAACGTTAAAAAGGATCGTTGAAGCCGGGCACCGCTTTAATGGAGTCAATGAGAATTCTAGACAACTCATTAGCGCGGCGTTTGCCGTTTTCGTAATCGCTAATGCTCAGGGCACGTGCGTGTTATAGTTAAATTTCCATATAGGCCCGAAAAGTTGAGGGGCCCCCGGTTTTCAGTCAACGTTAACCTTGACAGAAGAATTTCGCGACATCGCAATTGAACGTCGGTTGGGTTTGGTGGTGTTGGTAGTGGTGGTGACAAGTGTTTCATACGAGTTTTTTTTTTTTTTTTTTTTCCGCTTCTAAAATATCTCAAAGTGTTTCGTTAGCCGTTTTCGTCGTATAGGCGAAACGGAGCGCGAACTATAATATCAAAAAAGTGGTCACGGTGGATGAACCTAACCTAAAATGCGAGCGGCGATCGCCGATATCGTCGTAATATTTAGCATCTATCTTTTGTCCTGGCGATGTGTCAATGTTGTCGCCAGCGGCGGAGCACTCGATTCAACATCCAGTTATTATGCTGGACCAACACATACACCAACGTCGAAGCTGTCTTCGTTTTCGACAAGCCTCTCAGAAGGACTCGCTCAGGCCGTAGCCTATGAATCTGGTAAGTTGTTTTGTCATTATTCTATTGTCAATAACGATTTTTCAATTTTTTAATAACCTCATCTGTCAATATTTCTCCTTTTAATCGAGTGTGATAAATTTTACATACTTTTTTTTTTTCGTTAAAATCCTCTGTTTTTGTTTTTCTTTGTGACTAAGTAAAAATAAAGAAACAAACAAAATGGAATATAAAAATTTATTTAACATTTCTGTGTTAATAAATAATGTGCAATATTTTTTTTTATTCTTTGAGATTACAATCAGTGTAGTTTATTTTTATACAAAATAAAAATTTGACGATAAATATAATTTTGTGTTTCTAATTATTTATAATTGTACTTCCTGGAATTATTTTTATGGGATATAATTTAGATTTCTTTGATATTTAGTAAACATTCAGTTGACAGTATATGTGTAACGAATTTTCTCGCATTATTTTTGTTCTTGATCTCATCAAGGTTGCATTGTTCTAAATCAAATAAATTTTCATTTATATTAATAATTTTAAATGTAGGTGGATGTTTTTGAAAAAATTATATTTTTCGTTTTTTTTATTTCATATATAATTTCAATGAATTAAGTAATAATTTTAAATCGGTTTTTTTAAAAAATATTTTAATTATTATTTTTTATTCAAATATTTTTTTAAAATAAAAATTATTCAAAAAGCGTTGAGAGAATATTATATTTTTAAATTTGGTTTAATGATAATTTTTTTTTTAAGTTTAAAATTGTTAAAATTTAAAATTACAATTACTGCGAGAAAAATTAGTAATGGTTAATAAATAATGTTCGTAAAAAAGTGTATTTGAAAAAATAATCTATTTACAATATTTAAATTGTCTTAATGTTTTTTTTTTTGATACTAAATTTATAAAAATTTTAAATAAATTACGACATAAATATTTTTTAAACACTATTATTGTTTTTTTTTTATCTTTAATTTTCTTTTATATTTAAAAAAAAATTTCATTTATAATTTTATAGCATATGTAAAAAAATTAAAGAAATTTTTAAATTAAAAATTTTCTATTTGAATTTATTATGAAATTTTTATTGATTGTATACAAAATAACAATATTATTAATGAATATTGAGAATATTTTTGCAATATTTTTTTTTTTTACTTGTAAGAAAAAAAATGAAAAAAAAGTTGCAAAATTTTTTTTTTTACATTATATAAAGTCAATGAGTCATTTTAATCGATTACACTTATCAAGGCATATCTTCTTGTCCTTTTGATTAATTAACCTTCTCATTCTCAATTCTCCTCTCATTTTATTTACTATATTTTGTGTACATTCTATGCCCGTTTTCCTTATTATTAAATTTATTGACAATTTCTTGCAATTATTTATTTATAATTGACAATAAACATATAAAATAATTTTGAAATTTTTCTATTTGTCGAAAGTTGAAAATAAAAAAATAATTAATATTTAATAATTTTCATTTGAATAACTAATGTTTTCATTTAGAATTTTTTTTTTTTTTTTTTAAATATAAGTAAATATTAATAAATATAAAAATTAGTTTAGTTTTTTATCTTTCAGTTTGATAATAAAAACATATTTTAATTTTTTAAAAATAATTTTTTTTTTAACCTACACAAATATTATATTTAAATGAATAGTTTAATTTGAAAATTAAATTTTCGAAAATTTCTATCTCTATCAGTCTCTATTAAACAATTTTGAAAATAATTTAAAAAATTCTGAAATTAAAAATGAAAAATTTTTAATTTTTATTTAAAATTTAGGTTTTTTAATAGATTATTTTTAAAAAATTTATTCGAATGGTGGTGCTAAAATAGTTTTTGATTTTTAAATAATTGTAATTTTTTTCCTTTTTTTTTTTGTAAGGCACTGAAACTTGTAACGATGACCTCGGGTGCCTTACGATGGCCTCCAATGATCGACTAGGCTTGGAAGCTATCAAAACTCTTCACAGTCAACTAGACGACGATGCCAATGGAAATGTCGATCTTTCAGAATCGGATGATGTAAGTATTTTATTAACCCATTTCATTCTTTAATTTTTATTTATTTTCCATCGCAATATCTTGAAATTAGTCATTATTCATCATTTTTCTTCTTACTTTGTTATTTTTTTTTTTTATTTTCATATTTTTTATTTAATTTTATTAATAATATATATATCTATATTAATTTAGTATAAAATTATTCATTAATAATAATTAATTAAATATACAATTAATTATTAATTATTAATTATTAATTATTAATTATTAATTATTAATTATTAATTATTAATAATAATTAAATTGTTTAATAAATAATTTTTTAAATATTAAATGGGACAAATTATTTAGTAATTGCTCATTAATTACTAACACTTATTTATTAGAATATTAACGAATTTTTAAATTAACTTAAATATTTACTAATAATTTACATTGATTTATTTACTTATTTATTCACTTCTATTATTTATCTATTAATTATTAATTGAGACGTCGATTATTTATTTTAATTATCAATATCTTTGATTTTTCTTTTTTTGAGAGGGGGGGGGCAGTTTTTGATTGCTTTTTTTTTACAATTCAATTTATTACTTTACTTTTTTTCGGACAGTTTTTAAGAGAAGAACTACAATATGAAGCGGGTTACGAAAGAAGGCAAAGGGCCTTCCATCACAATGATGATATGCAAATCAGTGTTCGAGAATTGTGGGAAGCTTGGCTCAAATCTGAGGTAAAAAAATATTACAAAAAAAAATTATTGTCATTTTCTGTTTTTCATAATTTTCCTGACTTTTTATTTTATTTAAAAAAGATCTTTTATTTTTATTTTATATAAAAAAAATTTGATTTATTTAAATTGTATTTTTAAAAAAGGTAACAATTTTTTATTTCATTTCAAAAAATTGTTTTCTTTCTATTTTGTTTAAAAAAATGTTTTACGAATTTTTATTTTATTTTATTTTATTTCAATTTTATTTGTATTGTATTTAAAATTTTTTTTTTATTATTTTAAAAAATTGGTTTTTGTTAAAAAAAATGTTTGACTAATTTTTATTTGAAATTTATTTTTATTTTAAAATGTGTTTTTTTCTATTTTTATTTAAATAAAATTTTTAAGTTCTTTCCTCCCCCTTTTTTTTACTAAATAATTAAAAATTTTATTCCTTTTACAAAAGGTTCATAATTGGACGATTGAACAAACTTCCGAATGGCTAAAAACAAACGTCGAGCTTCCTCAGTATGTTTCTAACTTTATCCAGCACCGTGTAACAGGTGCTACTCTTCCCAGGTAAATTTTTTCCATTTTACTTATTATTTAATTGATTATTAGAAAAAAAAAAAATTGAAACTAAATTTTGAACTAGATTAAAAAAAATAACAAGTTTTATGAAAAAAAACTCGATTTCTAGAAAAGTTTTGTTTTTTTAAGACATAAATAAAAATATTTATTTTTGAAATTTATTTCATTTAAATCTTAATTATTATATTAAGAATTTTTTTTTTAGATTGGCTGTGAATAACATGCACTATCTTAGCAATGTATTAGGGGTCAAGGATCCAATTCATAAGCAAAAAATTGCCCTTAAAGCAATGGATGTTGTATTATTTGGTCCTCCAAAAGGTAAGAAAATTATTATTATTGTTATTATATTTTGAAAATTTTCTCTATATATTTGAAATAAAAAAATTTTGAAAAGTTTTTTTTAATGATATTTAAAAAATTATTTATTATTTCAAATAAAAATTTTCTATTAAATAATATTTATTGTATAAGTAATTTAAAAATTTACAATTAAATATTTTCTAATAAATAATTTTTATTTTTTGAAAGTTAAATATTTTGTGAAAAAAAGTTAATTAATTTTTTTTAATTTTAATTTAATTTTGTTTCACTAAAACTTTTTTAAAAAGTAAATTTTTATTTTTTTTTAGTTTCGTAGTAAATTTAATAATTTATCGTATTTTTTTTTTTTAGATTCAGGTCACAATGTTAAAGATTTAGTGTTAATTACACTTTTATTTGGTGCGCTAATTGGTTGTTGGTACGCGTATCAACAAAAAAAGAATTCACAGAAACACCTACATAGAATGATGAAGGATATGGAGAGTCTACATAAAGCAGAAATTGCTCTCGAAGATCTTCAGGTATTGTTAAACTTTTATTTTATTTTTACAATCTTCTATTTTATTTCTATAATAAATTATTTATTATTATTTCTATAATATTTATAATTTTTTTTTTTGATTTTTGTTATTTATTTAAAAGTATTCAATTAAAAAAAGAGTTCAAAAAAAATATCGGAAAATTTGTACTAAAAAAAATTAATTCTAATGAAATTTTATATTATATTATATTAATATTTTTTTTCCCCACCGCAAATACAGAAAGAACTTGAGAGAGCGCGAGTGGAACAAGAAAGTGCAACAGCGGAAAAACAAAATTTGGAAAAGAGATTAAAAGACGAAAGTATGGGACTTCATACCTCGTACTCGGATCTCGAAGTTTCGCAACTTAAAGCAGAAATTGAAGTAAGTATAGAAAAACATTTTTTTTTTTAATGTAGAAAATTATTTTTTCTCTTTCTCCAATTTGTGTTTTTTCAACTCTAATTTAAAAAAAAACCGTTTATTATTTTTTTTTTTTAATGTAGAAAACTATTTTTTCTTTCTAATATTTTAAAGAAAATTTGGTTTTTTCCCAAAAAATTTTCAAAAAAAGCCGTTTTTTTACGAATCCTTCACATTAATTTTAAATTGATGAAAAAATTATGAATTTTTTTTTTTACGATTGGAGACATTTTTTTTTAAGTATTTGTGTGTATGTTTTGTCGTTGTCTTTGTCGTGTACTTAATGTTAAATGTTCCCGTTTGAAGATGTTAAAAATGGAATTACAACGTGCTGAAGGTGAACTCGAGGATCGTTGTTGGTCGCCGCCGGTTGGCCTGCAGCATTGGTTGCAGATGACGCATGAAATCGAAAACAAAGCTTATACCAAGAAGAAAATAAGCGCCGAAAAGCAACTTCAAAATGCAAGAGAAGCTGTAAGTAATTTTATTTCATAAAAAATAAAAAAAAATTACTACTATTAATTAATTAAAGCAAATTTTATTATTAAATAAAATCAGAATTCAAATTCAGTAAAAATTCTCCTAAATTACCGTTTCGCTATTATAAAAAATTAAGTTTTGAAAATTCAATTTAAAATTAATATTAATATTATTATTATTATTAATTCTATACTTTATAATTATTTTGAAATGAAGTTAAAATTTTAAACAAAATATCGAGAAAAAAAATAATTAATGTATAAGAATATAAAAAAATAATTATTTTTTCTCTTCTTTTGACCAAAAAAAAAAAAAAAATAGTGCGAAAAATTGAGAAAAAAGAGATCGAGTTTGGTCGGTGCATTTGTTTCAACGCACGGGAAATCGATCGATGAGGTTGACAAAAGTATCGTTGAAGCGAGAACAGCACTCAATGAGGTCACCGCAGAATTACAAGAACGCGTTCATCGTTGGAAGCAAATTGAAATTTTATGCGGATTCAATATAATCAACAATAGCGGTCTCAGTTATCTCGAGAATATTTTATACCGAGGAGCGCCCAATGGAAGAGGACTTGGCCTCAGGGGTAATTTTCAAAAAAAAATTTTTCTCTCACTATTCATTATTTATTAATTGTAAATAATTTTTATTTTTCTATCCCTTAAAATTCGAATTTCGTAAATTTTTCTTTTCTTTTTCTTCTTCTAAATTCTTATTAAGAAAATTAAAAGTAAATTTATATAAAAATTAGAAATAAAATAAAAAGTAATAAAAATAAAATGAAAAAAATCAAAATTAAAAAAGTAAGATTAGTTCGACTTTTTTCAATAAAATTGTGCTGTAATTAAATAAATATTACAATTTTTATTTCAGTTACAAAAAGATTTACTCGAAATAAAAAAAAAGTAAATAAAACACATTCGTGTTAAATTACAACAATTCACAAAAACACAATTAACTTTACGAAACTAATTATTATGTAAGCTGCTTTTATTTCATTAATCGCCGCAATCGTGGTATTTGACCTTCATTTTTATTTCTCGGATTTTGTATTAAAAAAAAATACGAGTTTGTAGAAATTATTCATTCTGTATTTTTGTTATATTTGTCAAGTTTTCATTTTATTTACAGTTCATTTTGATTCTATTTTTAAAGAATCACTATACTTTTTCATCTATTCTATACTTGTTGCATTGGAAGTTTATTTTTTAAATTAGATTTAATTTTCTGTTTGATTAAATTCAATGATTTGGTCAATATCATAATATTAGCTTTATTAGATTTTCTGTTTTATTTTTATCGGACTCAATCTTCTTAGTGATTCAATTCTTTTTACAGCATTAACGGTTTTATGTAATTAAATTATTTGAATGGATAAAATATGCTTTTAAATTAACGTTTAGTACTTGAAAAATATTAATACGTAAAATCAATTTTTAAGGAAAGTATCAATTAAGAAAAATTAAAAAATTTTGCACACTTCATTTTTGGTCAGGAAAAATAAAAAAAAAAAGATTATAAAATTATAATTTTCATTAAAATTAATATAATTAATTATAGTAATTAATTAAAAGGAAAAAATTATATTTCCCTCTAAAATTAATTATAATAATATTAATTAAAAAGAAAGAAAATTATTATTCCCCATTGAAATTAATTATAATAATTAATTAAGAGAAAAAAATATAATTTTGTAAATCGAGAAATTTTTGCGCAAAAAAACTGAGAAATCAAGGTGCAAATTAAAAAAAAAATCAATATATATATATTAAATTAGAAATAAAATTAAGGGAATTTTTTTTGTTTTGCATTGTAGGTCGATTGAGTAGCCAAGATGACTTAGATGACGATACAAGTTCACTTTATTCTCCGTCTACCTCAGGCGCAGGTAAGCTGGAATCGGACACCCATGACCACGCGAAAAATGACTGATCTTTTATTCGACTCACCACTTTTATTTTCACACGTAGATCCTCTCCACTTTTCCACCGCTTTTTGTTTTTTTTTTGCACTGATTGGGTTCCGTTTTTCAAAAAGAAAGGTCCGTTCACTATCAATTCAATTTTCTTTCTTCTTTTTTTTTTTTTTTTTTTAAAAAAAAAAGGGAGAATCTATTTTTTAAACTATCAATTAATATTCGTAATTTAATTTACGAATTAAAAATAAGCTTTATGGATTTATTTTCTTATTTAGAGTTTTAAATGAAAGGTCCAGTGAAATTTTAACCCTTCGATATTTATGTTGTTGACAATTTTTATTATTTTATTTAGAAACCAGAATTATTATATTTTATTAATTATTAAAATTAGATAAAAAAAATATTTTTGACTGGTGTTTTGGAAATATTATATTTTGAAGAAACATAAAATTTTTCAAAATCTAAAATCAATTTAGAATATTAGATAAAAAATTTTTTTCCCTGTTTTAGATATATTTAATATTTAAAAAAATTGTTTTATTGTTTTAAAATATTATTTTTGGAAAAAATTTTAATTTTTTAAAATCTATACAATTGATTGTTTGGAATCATAAAAAAAGAGTTGAAAAAAATTGTCAATGAAAAATAATAAAAATTGTAAGAGAAATTGAATTTTAAAAATATCACCAGTAAAATTTAAACCAATTAAATTTTGACCTTGTTTAGGGGAGACATTTTTTTTTTTTTTATCGATTTAAAAATTTCTTTTTCACTTTTTAGAAATTGTATTTTTTTTGAAAAAATTAATTATTCCATACGATTAATTGTTCTGAATTATGAAAAAAGCGTATAAAAAAAATCGCCAATGAAAAAAGTTTAAATTTTAATTTTTCGAGAATTTTAAGTATTTTAAAAATCTATTAACATAATTATTTGATTTTTAATTCTGAATATTATAATTTTTTCAAATTGAAATTGAATTAATTACTTAAATTAAATTAAATTATATTTTTCAAATAGAAAATTTTTCCGTTTTAATGGAAAAAATATTTTAAATAATACATAATTGACTTGATAGTAAAATGGATCTGTGGGGTTTTTTTTGTGCATTAGTTTTCTGCCTTATGATTTTTTCGTTTTTTATTGTTTTTAATGTATTTAGTTTTTTATTTTTATAATTTATGCACTTTTCTTTTGCTTTAATCTGTTTCTTAATAATTGTTTACACAATTGAAGTATATATAATACTAAAAAAAAAAAAAAAAAAAATTATGAAAATAAAATAAATTACAGTGGAGAGGTGATAATGTTTGAAATCTTATTAGCATTGTAGAATTTTGCAATTTTTTTAATTGAGATTTTATTGAGAGCGAGACTACCATGATTTTTTTTGTTACTTTTATTTGTAATAATGTTCCGAAAATGACTTTTTCTTTCTTAGTTCGGAATGAAAATTATAATTTTATGTACTTTTAAAACATATAGGTATTCAATTGAAATTAAAAGAAGGTTGCTCTTCATTGTTGGAAATCAAGGAGTTAAGTTAAATAGGATCCTTTGAAGTAATTCTCACAAAATATTATTATTATTATTTTTATTATATTATGGAAATTTTTATTAATTTAAGTTTTATCAATTTAATGTAAACATATTTTATTGTTCAATTTATTTCAAAAATGCACATTTTTATATTATATATTTAGTTTTGAGTCTTAATTATTTTTAAAAATACCAACAAGTCGGGAAAAATTATTTATAAAATTTTGATTTTTAAAAATTACTTTTCAAGTCGTTTAACTTTAATGATCCTGATTTTTTAAAGTACTTTTCGTAATGCAAGTACAAAAAAAGAGAATAAACAAAAATTATTTATTAATTTAAGAAGTATCTTTTTTTAAAAAAAAAGTTCCAGGAACTTTTCTGTAAATAAAAAAATAAAATTAAAAAACCAAAATTAATTTTTTATTATAACTATTATTTTAATCAATGAGTATTTTAAGAAGAAAATTAAGTTATTTATTTAAAATTTTTTTTTTTCTTTTTGCTTCTATGAATAATTTTTGAAATTAAAATTCAATTTTTGAATCCTTAAGCGGTTAGAAAATCAGTCATGGGATAAAATTTTACTTTTGGAATAAATTTATTCTTAAATTAAATTTTTTTGTTTATATAACTTTTGATAAAAGCAGCCTGTTTTTTTTTTTTTGAATTTTTACAAAAGTAGTTTTTATCGCCAAATGTTAGAATAATAATAATAATTAATTGCAATTGTTCACAATTGTTTATAAGAGATTTATGAATTATTAATATATTCCGTTATGTATTTTTATTTACAAAAAAAAAAAAAAAAAAATGTAGTGAAATTGTATAGAAAAATCGTCGAGAATTAATAATCCCTATCAATTTGAAAAATTGGTAGAAAATTAGAAAATTAATATTTTAATAAAATTCACCGTCGATACGAATAAATTTTATTAAAAATAAATTTTAGTTTAGAAAAAAAAAAATTTTCTCTTTAGAGAAAAAAAAAACAACAAAAATTGTTTATATAGCGTAAGTTGTAGTTAAATATAAAGAAAAAATTACGTCGTGCCATAATATGAAGAAAAAAAATAATATTAAGGCATTAATATTTGTGCCACGCACATGTACATAAAAAAAAAATTTTTTGACTTAAGCTGACAATTAGATAAATATACTGTAGAATTTGATAAATTTTTAAAAAGATTTTATATATTGAAAGGAGATTCTTTTTTTTTTAAATGCAAAAAATGTATTTTATAACATTTTTTTTTTTTTTAGGGAAAACTAGAAGTTTTTATAGCGATTTGTATTGTCTTTATTACGAATTACTTAATGTATTTAAACGTGAATTTTTATTATATAGTTTTTTATTAATTATGTATATTTTTTATACTCATAATTAATAAAGTCGAGAGAAGCGTCAAGACAAATGAAAAATTATTTTGATCCAATTCCAGATTTGCGCTTTTTCACGCTTTTTTTGCTTTTACTAACACAAGATTGTTTTTAATTTTTACTAAAATGCTTTTGCTTTAGTTTTTTTTTTTTTTTTTTATTGAAATAGCAAAATATATTTTTAAAAAATCAGGTGCGATTTATTATTGTCTTGTGCCTCAGTCGAATATGCAGTGGTCATGTGCTTTTTCATATATATTTTATTATAGAAAATAATATTTAAATTCTTTGCATTAATAAAATTAAATTAAAATTTTCTCGCAAAATATGCTTTAGCTAAAAAAAAAAAAAATGGAACGTGCTTAAATTTTGCTTGTTTAAATGAGAAAAGTAATTGTCAACAGGTTTAATGGAGAATGTGACTTGGAAGGAATCATCAATTCCACCTGATTCGTCGAGCAGTGAAACTGGTAAGGAAACACCACCTGAAGTGGTGCAATTCACAGTTGGCGAAAGCAGTGAGGAATCAATCAAGGAACGTGGCAATCTCCGTGAGAAGAGCAATAATAATAGTAATAATAGTAGTAATAGTAGTAGTAATATGGTGCGTTCCTTTAGTCAAGACACCAATATGATTTACACCGATGACATTAAGTCTACCTCATCATTCCTTTCGAAAACTTCCTTTTCCGAGAATGCCCTCGACATAACTGATAAGGCAAATCGTATTGCCGTGAGTAAAAAACCCCTAAGGGATTTGCCAACTCTTATGTCCGTCGATGATGAGACACTATCAACGGATTCAAATTCCACAGCGGATAATGATGAGCAAAAACGCAGGCGTAGAAAGCTCCATTTTCCCGCTTTTAGAAAGAACAAGTCTAAACTTTCGTGATGCCTACTAGTCACTTAAGTTTTAATCAAGTCTTCTTCTTTGTAAACTTAAAAAAAAAAAATATATATATATAAAATAAAACCCGAAACAAAACTTTGGATAAGAAAATAAATGAGATTTATAATTCTCAACAATTTCTCTAAGATTTTTTTCAAATTTTTTATTTAATTTGTACTTTAGGAATATTTAAGACCAACGCAGAATAGAAATGTAATCGGAATCGTAACCGCAAATGCAATCGGAATAATGAGTTAGAGATGGACAAACTCTATCCTTCTCTAACTCATTATTCCGGGTGCGTTTGCAATTACGATTCCAGTTATGTTTCTATTCTGCTCAGGTCTTTAATGGTGGAGGCCCTAACATAACCTCAAAACTGAAAAATCAATTTAATGTAAACAAAAATTTAATAAAAATTAATTTTAAACAATTTTACAAGATCTAGTTTATACACTTTTTGGAAAGAATTAGGTTGAATTAAATTATCTTTCTTTCTAAAATTGTTTAAAATTATTAAATTTTTGTTTGCGTTAAAAATCGTTTTTCAGTTTTAAGGTTATGTTATTTTAAAAAATAAAAATTTTATTTTTTTATTTTCAAAGAAAAATTTTTTAAAAGTGTTTTAATGAAATATATGGAAGATTAACATTTTTTATAGCATTGAGAAGTGCTTTAAATAACTTTAAAATTTATAACAGCTTTTTCCATTCCCGTTGCCATGGTAACAATTACCATAGCAACTGTTGCTAGGGTAACGATCACCGTAGCAATCGTTGCTATAGCAACTGTTTCCTTAGTCACAGTTGCTATGGTAATTGTTTTCATAGCAACAGTTGCTACGGTAACCGTTACTCTAGCAACGGTTGCCATAACAATAAAAAGCAACTATCAAATTTTAGGTTATGTTCTCTTAATCGTTTTTTACTTTGCTAGACAAATTTTAATTCCATCTAAATGCAACTTTTATTAGTTCAAATTGTTAAAAAAAAAAAGAAAATTGACAAACTTTTCATTCAAACACTTTTTTTTTATTGATAATTATTTCTTTTAATCTAATGAAACGAAAATATTTTCTTTTTACTATTGTTCGTGCAGTTTTAAAATTCTCGGTGCTTAATTTACGTGTATAATTATTTATTTTTATTTATAACTTTTTTATTATTATTATTTTAAATATTATTAAACGTCATAAAACTTAGTTGTAATGATATATTAAAAAAATATTTAATTAAATTTGTAAAATCAAATTTAATTTGAATATGTAATGCAATTTTTTTTGTATTTTAAAAATTAAATATTAGTTTAAATTACTTATGTTAATTAAAGTAATTTAATAAAATAAAATCAGTTAGAAAAATTGAAATTAATCATTTTAATTTAAAACGTTTTAAGTATTAATTTATTAAGTAATTTTGATATTAGTAAAAATTTAATTTGAAATAATTAAATTAATAAAATAAAAATTTACAAGAAAACAATGAATTTCAATTTAATTTCAATTTCTTTAATTGAAAGCAATTAAATAATTTTAAATAAAAAGAGTTTCGATTGAAATTTCTTTTGGAATTTTTTATTTTTAAGCTCGTATATAATTTAAATCAATAAACAATTTATTTTAAATAAATAAAAACGTTATTAATGAAAATTCTCTTTCTATTAAAAAGAAGAGACAATAATCATAGAGATTTTGTTGAGTCTTCAATTTAAACTCAAACAATAGTTAGTCAATAACAAAACACTTTTTTGCCAAATTACACCCAGTTTTACTTTTGAAAAATAAAATTTCCTAATTTATTAATGATCGAATTTTTATAGTCTTATTCCATTTTAAATAAGAATAATAATTTTAAATTAATTTTTATTTTCAATAAACTGCTCAAAGTACCGTCTAGAAAAAAGAAAAAAAAACCCTTTACAATATTTAATTAAAAAAAAAAAAAAATTTAATATAAAAATATTTGTGAAAAAAATTACAATTCGAGTTTAATTGGTCTGATAAATTGTCAAAAAGGTGAATTATATAGGTATCTATCTTTGTAATCACGTTTAAAAGCATAATGTAATTTTTATCAGGGATTCGCCAAGTGCATTATTTTAGTATAATAATTTAAATTAAAAAAAAAATATTGTCATTCGTTTGCGGCTAAAATATTTTAAGAAATTTGAAAAAAAACGAAAACGACAAATTTTTTTTTGCGAAAACTTTAAACGTCCTTTTATAAAAAAAAAAAAAACACCTGAAAAAATTTGTAGAAAATTTTTGCGACATTTTTCAGGAAATTATTATAATATTCAGGACTTTTATTGAGTCAATTGTGAAACTTAAATTTAGTTTTAGATAATTATAAATATATATATATATATATATATATATATATATATATATATATATATATATATTTATATAGTTTATTATGATCGAAAACGCACACATATTGAATTGTTACTCAAATAAGAAGATTTGCGACTCTTCTTTTTGAAGATTTCTGTATTCTTTTTTCGTCTTAAAAATTTTTCGATCAATTTTACCGTGAGAGGCCTATTAAATTTTTTAAATAAGTGCAATTTTATCGTTCTGAAATTTATTATCATTCATTATTTTGTTTTAATTCTCTCTTTAAAGGACCAGAAGTCTTATATGACAAAGTATTAAAACTCAAAAAAAAAAAAAAAAAAAAAATGTTTTCTTACAATTTCTTTGTCGATTGAAATGTAAAAAAATAAAAAAACGAAATAAATCATAGACTTTTGTAGATAAAACAAAAAAAAAATTGTATAATACGCGATTCTGTACAGTGACGTTAATTTAATGGACGAAATTTATTATTCATGATAATATTTGTTAGAAGATTCTAATTAAAAATGCAGAATAAGCTGTGTGATGAGATTATTTTAAATATTGAAAAAATTATTTTTCACATATTTAAAATCGAAATCTCATCGCACTATAACTATATTTAAAAACGAAATCAAAATTTTTTCACATACGCTCATCATTCATTGCAAAAGTATATATATATGTTACTTAATAATTTTATGAGGAATATGACAAAAATAATTTTTAAATGAAAATTCTATTTTCCTTGTAAATCGAAAAGGAAAAAAAAATCAAAATGTTGATAATTTTTTAAAAACTATGTAAGGAATTGTATAAAGTTCTTTTTTTTATATAATCTGCGCTCTTCTTGTAATGTGCCAATTTTTGATATTGGGGAAATTAAAAAAAAATATATGTGGCCTAGAGACTTAAATAAAAATACTATTTTTCGGATTTGAGAAAAAAAAAAATTGATAAAAAGAAACATTAATAAATTTCTGATTTTCAAAAAAGACAGCTTTTTCCCCTGGTGTGTTCGAATTTCAATAGATTTTTTCCAGCTTTAACGAATCGGCTCTTCCTTAATGAAAAAAAAAAATATAAATCGTTTTATAAGCGATATGAATCAATTTTGTAAATAGTATTTTGTCAAGGACAGTTTCCTTAAGTTGTGTATCTTAATTTTAAATAATTCTTTAAATTATAATAGAGTTGCTATTTCTTTTATTTATTATATCTACTTTTTCAATATAATTATAAAAGTTATACGTTTATGTATTAAACAAAAATTAAATAATTGAAATTGCAACTCTTATAGTGTTGAAATTATACTAACTCGATTTTTTTTTGAGGCAAAACATATTGATATGGAAATATTCATAAAATTTAAATTGAAATTTTTTTTGGAAAAATACTTTACAAGTTTTTATAACTAAAAAATCAAATAATAATGGCCTAATATTGGGAGAGAGAGAAGAAAATATTGTTATAACACTTTAACGGAAAATTTGTGCAATGAAATTGACAAAAAAATTATTTTTATTTTCTATAATTTTTTTGTGCCCGAAGTTCTGAACGTTCAACTTTAAATGACATTTAATCGGAATTTATTAAAAATTTAGTTATAAAATAAATTTTAAATAAAAGATTTGGATTAAAATTTATAGTACATAAGTTTAAAATTAAAAAACACTTTCATAAGAGTTTATAATATTAATTTAAAAATGTATGGTATGAAAACAGTTAACGACACCCGTTAATAAAATAAAAAAAAAAATATTTAAATTACTATTTAAATAACATGATATTTATTAATATTATCACAAATTTTATTATTCAGATTTAATGTACAAAAAAAGTTGCTTTTAAAATACAATTATTTAACAATTTCTTCATATTTATAAAGTTTGTAATCAATAAAGCAAATTTTTTAAGGTTAGTTTTCTAAAAAAGTTAAATATTGAGGAAAATATAAACATATAAAATTTTGTGTCAACTGTATCAGTTTCTAAATATTGTATATTAATTAATTTACTAGTGATATTTAATTCAATATTATTATTTTTATAGTTATTATCGTTTTTAATAGCTAGTGTCGGTACTCAAAAGTTGTATACAGAGTCAAAAAAAAGAAAGGTTGACAAATTATAGAGTCGAACGTCCGAAATGTTACAATTCATCACATTTCATATACGCAACATTTGGAACGTTTCAGCTCATAATTTGGCAACACATCCCTGTTTACAATGTGTTTCATTACCCCGCTCAAAGGACACAAATATATTTCTATTCTTTTCTATCTTATACACTTCACGTTCGCAAACGTTTTCGGCAGTTATTGTGCATTGGCCTATAGATTTTCATATTTATTTTTAAAAAATATTATTATTGGACAAAAATATATCTACGAATAAAAAAAAAATATAAAAATAATTTTCTAAAAGTAAAAATTAATTTATAAGTCGAGTTGGTATGATGAAAACATGTTTTAAATGTTACACGTTACTTATATTATATCTTTAGTTAAGTATAGTTCTTAATTATTAAATTATACCCATAAGTTTTATTCATTGCTATTGTATTATAGTTTATTTCTGCTTTTTATAGTGATACGTCTTCCCTTGTATATTATAAAGAGGTAAGCGATTTTTCCAAAATAAAATATCTCAAATAAATGAGACTTATTTCCTTTTAATATTATGTTGTTTTAATTTTATTAATTTTGTTTTAATCGATGAATTATAATTATAAAAACAAATCGTGACTGACACATTTGTAAGCATATTGTCAGGAATTCCCTGTACTGTTTTCCTTATAACGAAAAAAAAAATTAAACAGATGTTAGATAATAACTGCATCAGTAAATTATTAATGTGTATGCAGATAACTATACACATTGAGGAGAGAAATTAATTAACTTTTCAATATAATATAATGTATGTGTTACGCGGGGAAGAACATCTTATATTTAAAAAATTTTAATAATAAGTGTTTCTTGAGAAAAACATTTAAAGATTATGAAAGAATAATAAATATAGAATTATAGGGAACTTTTGCAAAATATAAAAGCTGCGACACTTTCTATTAAATGCATTCCTTGACTGCAGCTCAAAGAAGTATTTGTATTACAATATAAATATTGTAAATTTTTTTTTTAATTATTTAAATTGTATAAATAATTCAGTTTTGAAAAAAATTTAAAATGGCCAAACTTTGCATTTTTTTGGTATTTTTAACCTTTACTGTTATGGCTGTTATAAGCGCACCACATGAAGGTAAAATATAAATATTTAAAATTATTTTTATAACACTTTTCAATTCTATAATTTTTATTAATTACACCCAATTGCATAAATGCTGTCCTTCCGGTTTGACGGTATTTTGAAAAGTCGTGACACTTTCTATAATAATTTTATTAGTTCGTGACTTATGGTCTATTAGGCCTAAGCAGAATGAAATCTCTAATCGTAAATCTTAAGCTTTTACATGAGAGAGAAAAGGATAGAAATATCTTTTGTCCTTTCCTCTCTCATGTAAAAGCTTAAAATTTACGATTAGAGATTTCCTTCTGCTTAGGCCTATTCGCACCATATACTATACGAACTAATAAAGTTAAAGAAATGTATTGGGTGGTGTATAAAAAGTTCTACATTAAAAGAATTAAAGAACAAAATTTGTTATCAAATAGAAGAAGAACGTGCTGATAGACATAGAAGAGTGACTTGCGATCTTTTATCATTTGGTGGATATGTAGGAGACAGTGCTTGCGCTGCCAATTGTTTAAGTATGGGAAAAGCTGGAGGAAGATGTATAAATGGTGTCTGCACTTGTCGACAGTAAGTTTATATTTTCATATTATAATTTCTTTGTGAAAATATTATTTTTAGTTTCATTTTATTTCTGAATAAAAAAAAACTCAACTGCATATATACTGTTCTTCCGGTTTAGCGTCATTTTGAAAAATCGTGACACTTCTATAATCATTTTATTAGTTCATGGTGTAGTGTATACATTACGCCACGAACTAATAAAATTATTATAGAAGTGTTACGATTTTTCAAAATTAAAATGTTTATAATTTATTTTACAGAACCAAAATCAATGATCTCTGGGATAAACGATTTGGTTAAGTATTTAAAAAAAGTGCCATTCACTTGAAAAAATTTGAAAATGTTTAAAGGATACAAAATTTTTTAAATAAATTAATTGTAAACAATGAATGATGAGACTTATTAAACAAAAAATATTCCTGATATTATTAGTATTAAAATTTGTAAAAAAAAATTGTAATATGAGATTTTTATCTCTTTCTGAAAATGAATAAATATATACATTTTGTGCGAATCGCATATTTTCTAAAACTGAATTTTATTTTTATTTTTAATGATGTTTTAAACAAATAGTAATTTTTAATCAGCGAACCCCTAAAATACCCATAAGTTTCAACAACATTAATTAAAATTAAAATTTTAAAAAAATTTTACATTAGCTTTTACTCTAATAGGGCAATTTTAAAGCGACTATAATATAAACTATTTTCTAAATAGACTATTTAAAAAAAGTTTAATTATTTTTATCTCTAAAGCTTAAATTATATAAAAGTTTTATAAATTAAAGGCTAAAAACCTATACAGTTAAGACACAAATAAAATTTCAAACCATTTATCCGCATAAAGATGCTCTTATTTAAAATTAATTTCATAATTTTGTTGTTAATAATATTTATTATTGAAAACACTGTTGTAGGTAAGTTAAAATTAAATATTTTATTTGTTAACGAATGTTAAAAAATTTTGTTATTTAAAAATCCAAACCCTACTAATCAGAAAAAAAATTATTTATTTCAAAAGAATGTTTTTTTGAATCAAAGAAATTTGTGCATTGTTATAGAGTCAAAAAATTTTTTTTTTTAATTTAAAGAAATTATTTCTTTACTTATTTTTTTGCCTTAAAGAAAAATTTCTTTAATTTAAAGAAATTATTTCTGTATTTATTTTTTGTTACTTCAAATAAATATTTTTTTGATTTTACAAATTTTTTGTTTAAATCAAAGAATAACTTGGATCAAAGTATAGGTTTCACTTTTAATATAGGTTCAATGTGGGTCCTATTAGGTCCAACTGTTAAAAGTAGGTTCAATAATAAAATTGCAAAAGAAATATATATAGGTCTTACAAAAATAATGTCGATAGGGTAGAATTATTGTAAATAACGTTTATCATATATTGGATATATAACATAATTAAATAAATAATTTTTAAGAATATTTCAGTAATAGCTTTTTTATGAGCAATTAAAAAAAAGTTAATCAACATTTAGAGATGACAAATCATCACTGATGCAATTAATTTATATTCTAGTTATAACAAACTTTCAATGATCGGTCGATAAAGTTTAACCAGTTTCGTTATTTTCTCACAAGATGGAAATATATAACACTTTATACACTAGTAAAATTTTAATTCTGTAGTAAAACAAAAAAAGAAAAAAATTTTTCCGTTAACCTTTAATTAAAAAAGTAATAATTTACTGTTACGATTTTTTTTTTAATCGATCAAGATTTGGAAACTTTAAAATAGACATTAAAATTTAAACTATATAAATTTTAGAACGTAGTAGTTTAATAGTAGTAGTTAATAGTAGTAGTTTAAATTTTCAATTTTTGTACTTTTATTTAAAAAATTGAAAATTTACATATGATGTGAAGTTGAAAAATAATATAAGTTTTTTTTTCTTTTTTAAACATCCATAACTTGCTGCCCTCTAGCATAAATATTTCAAACTACATATTTTCGCAAACAAAAATTAATTTTTTCATATAATATACTAAATATTAATTTTTTATTTTTTATGCCCAAATAAATATTTTATTTTTGTTAAGGAAAACAAATAGCAGAATATTAAAATATTTCGTTTAAAAATAAATGTTAGTGACTGAACATCTCAATTTCATGAAAAAAACTTATTTATATACATTGTATTATTTATTGGTATATATTTATTTTTTGTTGGTTATTTGAACTTTTAACAATTTGACAAAAATGTAATTCGAGTTTATGGAATTCGATATTTTGATATTTAGGCCAAAATAAAGGCGCCTCAAAGTTGCTTATTACGGATATGAAGTCAGATTTTTGAAATTCAAAATGGCGGATCTAATATCGTGGACGATTTTTTTAAATTAATCAGATTCACTTGAAACTTATTACTGGAGGGTTTTTGGACTCGCTGATTACGAATCTGATGTTAGTTTTTTAAAATTCAAAATGGCTGATCCATAATAATTTCAAAACTTCCAGGTGGAATGATTTATTATTACTATTAATATTATTATTTTTATAGTAAAGTACAAAATTCTATAGGTATAGTAAATGGCAATTAGTGACTTTCGGTTACGCGATGCGAGAACTAATCACGATCGATTGCCAGAGGCGCAGTTGGACGTGACAATTAGAGAAGAACATAAATCCTACAGTTTAGCACACTTCCTCGTAATGTCGAGTAGATTAGAACGTACGAATCAATCAACTGGTAACGGCCGACTGCGCATTTAATTTCCTTGCCCCCCCCCTTTTCAACACACACATAGAGTTATATATTCGATGGTGCACAACGATACATATATGGAGTTTGACTATGTATAATAGTATATCGGATAGCAGAGACGATGATTTGCGCCACAGGGGTCAAGGCGACATAATATCATTTATAAAATTGACTACAGGAAATCAAAATTAAATTTTATTTAAAAGTTTCAATTCTTTTTTCTCTATTTAGTTTTTTTAAACTGATTTTATCACTTTTAACTATGTGTCATCCCATCATCTGTTTTTTAATCTAGAAAATGTGGCCAATTTTTGAGAAGTAAAATTTCTACAAAGTATATATATATATATATACATACAAAGTTTTGTAAAAGATCGTTAATAAAGAATATTACTGTACTTTTGGTCTGCGGCGAAATTCTTTCCATGTCCTAGAGTTTCAACCCCCTGGTGATTCGAGTTTCCAGAAGCCAGCTAACCCAGTCGGGTCGCCGAATTTATAGCCCAGACCGACGCCCATAAACTGTACAAATGGTAAATCTACCGTAAGATCATCCCAGCCGAAAATGATGTATTGTACGTACCGCGAGACGAAAGAGTAACCACGTACGACTGACCTCCCACCCCCTGCCTTTCCTTTTTTTATAAGTTAACCTATAAGCTATGTCACTTTAATTTATTTAAAAATTTTCCGATTTTTTGAATTTATGTATACTTCGGGAATACAATGTCTACCCTAAAAAGTTCTTTATACAAAAAATGTACTGCACATTATTTAATAGGATCAATAGTAAATCTAAGGTCACGCAAAGTAGACCTAATTGCTGTTTATCGCTAATGTTGAGTTATTATTCATCATTAATATAAAACAAACCTTTTTTTGTAACCCGCTTCATTTTTTTTATATCCTCTTTCGTGGCCAAAGTCATCTGAAATAAAAAGAAACTAATTTTTAAGTATAAAAAATATCGAGAAAAAAATCAATTGAAGTATAACTGGACAGAGGTCATATTAGAGAAAGGCGTGAGGGCGGAAAAAAACACGTGTGCTTTTGGAAACTGCTCCCAAGTTGCTATATGTGTGTCAAAGGATCAGGAAACTTGCAACAATGCAATGCTTTTAAGATAAGTAAGTAACGGTTCGCGGCGCACAAAGCATGAGAACCTGCAGTGGCAGATTTACAATCTACTCATAACAGGAGCTATACATATAGGCTTTCGCTTGGATATATATAAACCGCAGATTTTCGAAGCTTATCTTTGTTACGTAATCATTTACGTAATACCACACTTAGAAACTGTATCCGTTTCTATCTAAAATTCTAAAGTAATTTATACTTCATTACTTCTTTTCAATTTTGTGCCATACACTTTCTGATTTTATAGACTTTTCTATTTTACAGAAATTAGAGATTTTTTTTATTATTTGTGTGTCATTTGCAGTGTTGGCTGAACTTATTGAGTAATTTTATTACAAAATTTCATTTGTCGTCGTTTGGGGCCATCCATAAAGGTAGGGGGTGGGGGGTCAGCAAAAAAATGTTTCACATGCTATATGGAGGACCCCGTTGGTAACTTATGTAATTTTATTTTTGGGAGGAATTTTCAAAATTACCGATGTAAAGAATGTATTGTAGATCAGCCTTAATAAATTTTAGGTGGCATTTGTCCTGTGGCGCATTTGGACTGTTGGAAAGGTGCCAATGTCGCCACAAACCAAAGTTTCGATTCACCATTTGTCATAATTTTTCGTCAACTACCGCAACCTGGTCTGGTAAAAATTTAGTGACATTCTAGTTTTAAAATTAAAAGTTACTATAAAGTCACTAAATTTTCACTAGAGCAGGGTGCAGTAATTAACCGAAAATTATGACAAATGGTCAGTGACGACTTTGCCCTTACACCATACGCCATGAACAAACTAAATTTTTATAGAAGTGTCAGTTAGGTGTATATAATTTCTGGAAATATTTTCTCGACCAATGTAATTTAAGACTATGTTTCCATCCGGTTGGTTTCCATTGTCCCCACTCGCCATTTGTCATAATTCTCGTCAACTACCGCACCCTGCTCTAGTGAAAATTTAGTAACTTTTAATTTTAAAACTAGAATGTCACTAAATTTTTACCAGAGCAGGTTGCGGTAGTTGACGAGAATGATGACAAATGGCGTATAATAATTAACCAATGCCACAAACTAATAAAATTGTTATAGAAGTGTCACGACTTTTCAAAATGCCGTCAAACCGGAAGTACAGCATTTATAAAATTGTGTGCGTCAAAAACTTTTAGGGATATTCTCAATTTTATAGAATCGAATTTTTTTTTCAAATTAATCATGGAATAACAATTTTGTAAAAATTTGATTTCTACAGAGACCAAATGCCGCTGTGAGAATTGTATAAGAATATATAGAAGGTTTATATAACTCTGTGACAACCACACCTGTACTTATACCTGCACCTCAAGTGATATGTTGTGGTAAAAAAAGAAGAAACCCGTGCTAAGCCTGCGTCTTTCAATAGAATCAGGAGGAGTTAATAATCGAGCTCGGCTTTTGCTTTTGTGTGCGGTCTAAAAGTTCTTATAGATATTATTGTGGTCGAAAAATCACCGTCACATTGGAAAATCTCAAATGCTGTGTGCGTATATATATACACACACATAAAAATCTTGTCGTGTCTCATCCCTATACGCGGAGTATAAAAATACCTGAAGCGATTCTCTTCCACAGGGATCGGATTTCAAATAAATGTAACGGATCAAACAGCACCGAAGAATCGATTTCTCATTTAATCAGGATCTACAGGTAAGTATAAGTTC